TATAGGAAGATGGGTAGAAATTGCTTTCCAATTACGAATTTTCTTTGATTCAAAATAGTGAAAGGGAAACACAAGTTATGGGTCCATTTCAATACCTTATCTTTGGTAGTTGTTTTTCTTTTTTCCAAGTTAGATGTGATACCTATTTCCTTGAAAGCAAAGCATAGCATATGTAGAAAATGTGATGGATGGACCCTTTGCTAGTCTTCCCACTTGAAAATGTCTTTTTTTTTTTTAAATGTAAATGTCAATGTTTAAGTTATCATGTTGGAAAATAATTAAAAATCCATAAAGATTTGTTCCCCTAAAAATTGGTAATTTGGAATATTTTAGAAGCAATAATGTTGATTTCAACCCAATGAGTTGTTGAACTTGTAGAGAACGTTAAACATGGTGAAAAAGCTTTTGCATATTGACAAAGTCTACTTTTTCACATGAACAACATTTAAAATTATATGAGACATCATTATTAATACCGTATGATTTTATTGAATATAAGGAGAATGTTTCCTCGCATTTCAAAAGTATGAATTTGAATTTAATTATTATTTTTTACATAAAGAAATAATTTCGGAAAACATAAACGTTAGAGAGAAGGGCTATTATTAAAGATTGAACCAATCTCATGGAGTATGCCGTATGAAAACATGTGACCAGTTCATAAGATTGAACCAAAATTTTTTTGGCCAAAGAATAAATCAAAGCTTTAAGATGCTGTTAAGATTGTGAAATCCAATCATATCTAAACCTTAATTATGTTAACCAATCATGAGACACGCTTCTAAAGATAAAATGTTATTAATTTTTTATAATAAAGATTAAAATTTAAATATATTAAATGACATCTTTTAAAAATAATTATTTAAATCAAGTTAATTATATTTGAATTCAAATATTATTAATTTTGAGTGCTTAACTAAGAAGCCTGGTGGAATAAATCAAAGTGATCGAAGACTAAAATTTTTATATTTAAAAAGAAAAAAAAAAAGATGCGTTTCGTAGTGCGGTACTGATAATGTGATATGATTAACATTAAAAAAATAAAAAGAAGTTTTGCGTTTTATGCGGTCAACAAGCGGAGTCTGTTGTCGAACAAAATACAGCCCTTACTCATTCAATGGATTAAATTAAAAACAAAAAAGGATAAAATTTTGTAATAATTATTCAAACTTTTGAATTTGATATTTATTGGCTTTAAATAAACTAAATCGACCAAAACATCAACTTGAATCTTTTTTTTTTTTTTTGAATTTAAGAGAAGCCTTTTCATATTGCAGATCCAACTTGAGTATTTTTCTTATAAATTTTTATTATAATCATATAATTATTTGATTGTAATAAAAAATTATGTAGAACATCGATATTTATAAATGTGAATTTTAAATTTTAATTAATTAATTGCATATAATAATTATACCACCCATTTCAGCATGTAAATTTTAGGTTTGACTTCCATTTTTGGTAAAATTATTAATTATGATGATTTGAACAAGTAATGTATTATGTCATTGAAAAAAAAATTATTTGATCATTGGAAGCTATTGATGCAAACATTTTTTAAAAACAAGTAAAGAAGGAAATATTCAAATCATCAAAAAAGTATGCAAAGATAATTGCATCTTATACTATTAGTATAGTTGAAAAACTAATCTGTCCTACAAAGCACTTTGATTGAAAGAATATTAAAAAGAGAAATATAAAGTTGAAATCAGATGAATGTGGCAAAGTTATGACCATTGAACAATTTTTTTTTAGTTATTGGAACTAGTTTTTCATCTTTTAGTCGAATCTGGTGTCACTGTGGGTTAGATTCTGCCTAGCTATCGCCGGCCCGGCCTCCCACTTGATCGTCATCTTGCTTTTTTTTTTTTTTTTAATCTTTATTTGATTTAATGGAAAACAGGAGCTGAGAAATTTATAGGGAACATTGTCCACAATTAAATCTCTTTGTTACGTTGAACTTGGGAGTCTGGAGCCTCATCAAACTAGTGGCAATTTTGTGAAAATCCATAATTAATCTGCAATGCATTTTTTATTTTGATACTATAATTTTACAATTTTATTTTAAAAAGAATATTTTATAAATTTCAATTTATATATTATAATAAAATTTCAAAATATTTTAATAGAAAATTAGGGTGTCATTTTTTTTTCTTAAAAATTTTACATTTTCATTAAATATAACATAAAATACACAAAAAAAATCACAAAATTTAAATTATATAAAATATTAAAATTTTAAATATAATTTACATCGTATAATATTTTATTTATTCAAATATAATGTAACACTTAATTTTTATTCTATTATTTATGGTTCTGATATTATTTATAAAAATTAATATTTAAATTATCAAATATTATTTATTTTAATATAAAATTTTTATAAATTTAATTTTAAAAAATATCTTATAAATTTAAATTTAAAGATCATCTTATATTTCACAATAAATAATACGTGAAATGAGTGTCACAAATTTGATAAAGAAGACTGGTCAGTTAGGTCGAGAAATCAATTTGGTCCAGTGAAAAAATAATAAATTTATTAGATTAAATTGAAAAAAACCGGACTAATCTGACAGACAGCAAATGTAACAGAACAATAAATAAAGAAAACAAATAGGACTGACGATCTGTACCTTAACTTGCCCAATTAATTCTTGAGTCTGTCAAAACACCATTTCCCTACCATCTCCACCGTTCATCTTTTTCCCGCCAACCCGCCACAGCGGAATATCTACCGTACATTCCTCATTATTCTCATTCAATTTCTCTCATAGTAACTGCCCACTGGATTCTTTTTCCAATGTATGTGATGGGCTGATGGCTAGTGTATTCTTATCCTTATGTGAAAGATATTGGCCGTAGGATATTATCATTGCTGATTAGCTGGTGGCCCACTTGGAGAATGGTTCTCCACCGTAGGATCTGATCCAACAGATCCAAGGGAGCCCTCGTGAATCCTGATTAGTACGTGAGTGACGTAATACCAGAACCATCCTTTTGTATCATGTGATTGCTTTTCTAGAATCCCCACCACCTGCTAAACACGTGGCCCCCACTTTGGAAAACGTATCAATCTTTCTGGATACCATCCCGTATTTTTTTTAATTTAACTAATAATGCAAGCTAAATGAACAAATCCGAAAAATGAAATAATCTGAAAAATACGGAAAGTGGCACGTGGAAATCAACGTGCAAGGCAGGGCAAGTTGTAAGAAAGTTTGATTTTTCGAGGAGCCGCTGCAAAACAAGTAGCAGCTGACACGGCAGCCAACTTGACCGTGAAATCCGCGGCAAAGGCAGACGTTGCAGTCTGATTCTTCACATTTATTCGAATGCATCTGTTTTGGTGGGCTTTGCGTGGTTGCTTTGCTTCTGGAAACGTGTCGGCTTAGGCTCGCCGAAAATTAAAGCTGGCTAAAGGGGCTTAGGGTGTGGGTCCACATGAAATGAAATTAGATTTTTTAGGGGTGGGAGTTAGGAAGGGACGGGGAAGTGATCCGGTCATTGCCCAAGTTGGGCAGATCTTTTTCGTGGTCACACGAAAGCATAAACTGAATCGGTGGTTTGATTGGGGTAGGTTTCATTTTCATGGCTTGGGGTCGGTTTTCACGTGCCTTGTGACTTGGGGTTTATTTGTTCGTTTATTTACATGTTTTTTCAATGCAAATTTTCTTAGGTGGTGGACATATCGTTTCACCAACTTTCACTGATAGTTGTTTGTGGAAATATGAAACGGATGCGGCAAAGAGAGTTAATTGTGTGGTTTAATATTTCTTTCTTTATTAAGTGGATGGGAAAGCGATGTGATCCCATTCATTTTTTTTTTTTAATCTCTTAGCATATTTTAGAAGGACAAACTTTTTCTTATGCAATAAAAGGACGAGTTTAGTGCGTTGAAATTAATATCATAATCGTTGCATAATCTCCAAGCTTTGCAACTTCTTGTAATAATACAAAATATTTTTTTAATTTAGTCATTAAAATGCAAAAGAAAAACATTACAAGTGTGGCTGAGAAGGTACAAGTGTGTTTCAGCGTAAAATGACTTTTGAAAATTATTTTTAAAGTTTTTCTGTGTTAGAATTTCAGAAAACATAAAATCAGCGAAAAATAAATACTACTGAAAATATTTTTATTGGTGTTTGATACTATAATTGTGATTAAAATCATTAATTGTGATTAAATGTAGCTTCAACAATGCCAAATGAGTTCCAAGTAGTTGATAGAAATATGTTAAAGAAATACAAACCATTAAAAAAGAGAAGGAGATATATACTACCAATCTTTTATTTAATTAGACACAGATGAAATAAGATTTTTTTTTAAAGTAACTAGAAATCCTTAACTAGACAAGATCATTGAAAAAACTTAGTGGACTTTAAAAAAAGTTAAAATAAACATGAAATCATTGGTTGCTTTCATGTGAGGTACATTAATTTGGGTTGATGTGTAACCAATTCACTGTTAACCAATTCACTATTAACCAAATAAATACGTACTACATAAAAAAGTTTTCAAGAAAATAATAAAAAAAATTATTATCTATTCAAATATTGAATAGTGCACATTTAAGTAACTTTATAATTAGAATTTAATAAATTTTAATTAAATAATAATTTTAAATTTAATTAAAATTATAATTTTAACCTTTAAATAAAATAATTAAAACTCTTAAAAAATAGTAGAGAAAAACATCCATATCAAATGAACTTGACCAAAATACCCATCTCCACACTCTTTACCGCTTTCCCACCAAACCAAACCGACAAACCCTCAGCCGAGCCACGCCAACCAACAAAAGCCAACCTCAACAATATTAAAAAAATAAAGAAAGGGCAAAACAAAGCAAAAAATCTAATGGCCGTGATTGACTAAGCTTGTGGGTCCCATCTGACCGGACCTCAACATGGGATTCAAATCCCATTAATAATATTCAAATTGGGAACTGGTCTAGACTCTGGACGCCCCCCTTAATAAGTAAACCTCCAAAATAATAATTAAAAAAAAAAAAGCAAAGCTCCCTGATAACCAAAGAATTTGCTCCCACCCACGCGCCTGTGTCTCCATCATTACTCACTGCCTCTCTGCCTTCTCTCTATCTCTCTCTACTTTCTCTCTCTACTTTGGTCTCATTATATAAACTCGTGTCCCCCTGCGCTCCCTCGTCACAACGAACTCGCTCATTTGCGTCTGTTCTTTTAACAATCTCTCTGCAAGAAGAGAATCCAAACCTAAAAAGCACGGCCTAAACCGCTCGGGGAGCCGGGTTTTTTTTTTTTTTTTGAAAAAAACATATTCATTTTCATGGAAGATTTAAGCAGCAAGAAGCGAGTTAGGGATGACTCAGCCGAGTCGGATCTGGACTCGCCCGAGGTGAAGAGACTCAGAGATGATTTATTAGATTTTCTTGAGGACTCTGATTCTTTGCCTGTTAATTTAGATCTCGCATCTGTGATGAAGAGTTTCGAAGAGGAGATATCGCCGACGGGATCGACTTCGTCGGCGTTGCTGCCAGTGGTGGATCTGACATCAGAATCTGGTGAGTCTCAACTGGATCTTGGTTACCTTCTTGAGGCTTCCGACGATGAGCTTGGTTTACCTCCTCCTACGGCTACTACAACTGGTGGTGAAGAGGTACGGAGCGAGGTGACTGAGTTGGTGCGAGTCGACCCTGACTCGTCAGGAATCGGTGACTTGTGGGTGTTTGAGGATCAGAACCCAAACTTCGACTCTTTCGAGTTTGGAATCGGAGATAATTACAATGGTGACCATGTGGCGTATGATGGATTATTCGAGTACTCTGATGTTTACTACGATTGCTCCGAGCTTTCTGGTTCGTTATGGCGGCCGGAAACTCTGTCGGCGGAGTAATATTCGAAACGTAAAACGAAAAAAGAAAAGAAAAAAAATTAACTCAAAAGAAACCAAATATACTTCGGTTTCAAATGGAACACAAGGCATAGCCGATCTGTAAATATTTTTTTTACCTTTTTTGGGTTTATCTTAGTTATTTTTTTATTAAAAAAATTACAAGTAGGAATAGAAATTTGAAATGAAAAAATCCTGAGGGGACTTAAAAATGGAAAAATTCAATTGTTTGATGGCTCCTTTGTACGAACCTGTTCTGTCCTGACCAAAAAAGAAACGAAAAATGGTGGTGGCAGAAGCCTTTTCTTTTGTCCAGATCTGAATCGGATACCACTTGCTAATATAAGCGTTTGATGTCGAAGTTAACTAATATTAATAGTGTGAAAGGAATCCCAGGAAATATTGTTCGTCTAAAGTGGACAAAGCGATGGAGTTTAGTTTAAAGAACCAAAAGCAGACAACTAATATTCAATGAGCCAAACCAAAGCTAAAAAACTAACGTCGGTGCCAGAGGTTACGAGGAAAATTTTTGTCCGCTTTTACCTATTGTTATATCTTATTGAAACGGTAACTCTTTTTTATTTGTAATGTGGTGTGGGATTGCAAGATGTGAATCCTTATCATATTAAGGGTGTCGATGGTTAAACTAGTCTTAATAAAAGCTTGATTTCAGGGCAAGCAATGAAGGCAACTTAGCTTTGGCTCGGTGTCACCCTGATTGTGTCTGGAGTTTTATCAGGTTTCCTGGTTCAAGTTCATGCCAGATCGCGGTTTAAAATATGAAAAATTAAAGGGATAAACGCCCCATGCGATGAGTGTTTTGAGTGTTAAAACAGGACACGAAAAAGTTTCAAACACCGGACGGTATGATTAAAATTGACAATGGATCAGATTTTATATATATAAAATTTGTATTCGATTTAATTTCATAAATTTTTTTTATATTCTCGATATTATATAAATTTATATTTAATTTGATTTGATTAAAAATTAATAAAATATTATTTTATGATATAAATATAAAATTAAATAAATAATTAAATATATATCAGATCAAATTAAATTTGATTAAAATTCGACTTTGATCCTATTAAAATTTTTTATTATTATTATTCAATCTAATACAAGATTTAAAAAAAATTAAAAAAATCAAAATTCGTCAAGTACGGATTATTCCATCTTTCCTAATTGTGATGGGATCGAACGGGGCATACATGTCCTGGGCTTTTTCGATATCATTTTAAGGTGAGAGTGAGAACTGTTAATGGGCCGCAATATTAAATATGGCCTTGTTTTATTAAAAAACTAGAATACTTCTCCCCTGTCCCAATTTATTTATCTTGTATTAATTTTCATAAAATTAAAAAAAATAATTGTAATAATTTTAATATTAAAATTATTTTTAAAAAATTAAAGTTCTATGGTTTAATGTTAAAAACTAAATAAAATCATAAAAAATAATTTTAAAATATAAAAGAATAAGAGTCTTAAATGTTCAAAAAATGAAATAGAACATAATTTTGGAACATCTCAAAAAAAATGAACAGAAAAAAAAAAGACAGAGGGAGTAACAAAATTTCTCATAAGAAACTTTTATAATAATAATTTCATCTTCATTTGTTGGCATGGGTATTAATCATTTAATCTCAATACATTATATTAATGTTGTGGAGAACATTGGTTAAACTCTTCCAGGTTTGGGTATGGCCTAAACTTCTGCTGCCATTCAGGATTTGTTCTGGGGTGAAAGACCTATTTATGACCTTAAGAACAAGATTGTGAAGCTTATGGTAACCTGATGATTAAGCCCAATTACTTGAGAGGCTTCTGCACGGCCCAATGTTATGGTTACAACATTGACTTGCGATTCTTTACCATGTTATGCATAATTATCGTCTGATAAGTAGCCGTAATGGGCACAAAGCTAACGCGACTAGAACCAAATGCCTAGCAAAGGCTACTTGCTTTAGCCATAATATCTTTTCAACGTCTGTCAACCAAGCTCTCTCCATTATGAGAGGAATCCATGAAAATAAAGTTAATTAGCAGTCACCAATTACAATCAATCACTCAGTTATATCCGATCAAGTACTAGCTTTTAGCCACAATCTTATACTTGTGTCTCCAAATGGCCATCCCAACATAAATATTGTTATTCTTCAATGGTACAAACAACCACTCTTTGATAATGCACCGTATTTGGCATTCACTTACAGCCTCTATTAAGCCTATATCCTTACAGTAGTAAATCTCCACATCAATGTGCAACATCAGGGAGTTCGCTATATCCACAATCAGACGGACCGTTTATTTACAGGCTCAATTGCTCTAATTCTCTCTTATCAGACCATACTTGGTCCACGTCTTATTTGTTTCTTCGCTCTAGCCAGACTTGGTCCAATGTCTGCCATTGGGCCTCGATAGTGGGTAAAGCTCAACTTGCTTCCCACATATCTACTTGTTTTTCCTTTTGCTGATTCGTACGTTATTGAGTGAAAGCGAATTGAGTCGGATTGGCACGATAAAAAATTTTAAATTGGATTTAAAATTTATTATTTAAAATTTAACTTAAAATTAATTAAATTTGATTTAAGATAAAAATTAAATTATTTAAATTCATTCAATTAAATTTTTTTTTGAATAAAAAAATTTCAGTAAGCATTTTCGACTTTAAAATTAATTATTTATATTTAAATTCAAACTCAATTTAATAAATATATTTAAAAAAATAAAAAAATTTTTCATTAAAATATAAAAATTTAATTAAATTCAAAAATTATTTAAATAAAATATTAAAATATTTGAATCCGACTCACTTATAAGTTCAGTTGCTTAAATTTAATTTGACAGTGAATGAATTAAATTTAAATTTTATTTAAATTAAATTTAAATAATTTATTAAAATTAATGTATTATTTAAACTCTTATATTACACATGTATATTTCTCCAAACAAAATTTTAATTAAAGTTCCTCATTGACAACCAAATTCTATTATAGGCAAATCTTTTTGGTAATTTCCATTTTATAATAAAAAATTATTTATTTAAGTAACTCATTCCTTTTCATGTTATAGCATTTTTTTTTTATTTTTTTAGTCTTATATATGTAACCATAATTATTGAAAAAAAAAAACCCTTCTTACTTTTAATAGTAACCAAGAAACCTGCTTAATTTTCAATGGTTGATACTTGAATTAAGTCTTCTTGTAATGTTCTTGTTCATAGTCCAATACAAATTATTTTTAACCTAACTTATTTTTCTTTTAATAAATCTTTTGTCACTATGAAAACTAATTGTCTGACATCCAAATATATAGATAATTACTTTGAAGATGCTGTCATTGAGTCCTAATTATTGGACGATTCTTTTACTTTTCATTTATTGTTATATATTTTTTAAGAATTATTATTATATTAGTAGGATTTGTTTAATAAATAAATTAAAAAAATTTAAATTAGTAAAATTTAACTGGGCGTGCTTTCTGATAAGCAAACATCCAAACAGTAAAACTTCAAAAAGAAGTAGGTAGGTGAACTCATCACCGTCGACTCAATTTATTCCACGTGTCAAATGACTATTTGATCCATTTTTCAATCTAAAAGCACAGAAGTAACGCCCTGATAGGTTTTAGACTTAAGGACTCTACCAGATATTCCTTACTTGCCAGCATTTCTCTCTCTCTTTCTTCGCATATAAATAAGATCGGCGGATTTTAATAAAAATAAAAGAAGAAAATAAAATAAAAAAAGACTGCGAGATCGAAATTAGCATTCAGCAGGAGATGAAGATTTTCGTCAAAACTCTCAAAGGCACTCACTTCGATATCGACGTCAAACCCGAAGATGCGGTTCGCTTCTTTCTTTTTTTTTTTTTTTAAATTTCAATTAATTGTTTTTTTTTTTTGTTTTTCGGATTTAACCTATGAATTTTACAGTTCACGAATTGCGTTTTTTTTTACTAGGGTTTTTCTGCTTTTCCCTTTTTTTCCCCCAAATTTTGAACGTTAATTAGGGTTCATTTAGGACTGTTCAAATCACAATACGCTGCTATTCTTTGGATTTTATTGTGCACGTGGTCGAATTAGTATACGTCAGATTTAAATTGAAGATCGTGAATGATTTGTTCAATTTCAGTCTTTAATTGATTGAATATGGTGATTTTGATTGGTGAATGGTTTAGCTACTTCAATTAAGTTTAAGTGGTCTGATAGTCGTATGGTTTGAATGGGTATCATATCTTTTGGGGAAAATTAACAATTCCCTATATATAACGTATCAACTTCTGTGTCGTGAGTGACATGAGAAGTAGTTGTTAATGTGTATAGTTTTGGAAAAGGGGAATGTGCTAGTAATTCACTGAAATTATGGATGATACTTTGTCTCTGGGCTTTATTTTTGCATGAGTATTTGATTAACTTGTGTCCTTTCATACGAATTTATAGATTGCCATGTCAATGGTAGTTCCAGTGTACAAGATTTAGGGTTTGATTGGAGAAACACAAGCTTTTAATGTTGAATATGCTAATATCTTAATTTTTTGAAATGTTCTTTCATTGGTGCTGAACTTTCTTAAATCATTGTGAGTATAAACACCAGATTGAAGTATAGAGATTGTTTTTAATAAATTTTCTGTACATAGGTTACCATTGTGAGACAGAATAAGAACAAAGTTCTGCATTCTGCGGTTAGCTCTAATCAAGGGTTGGGTTGTTTGAAGGATGTGGATAGTCTAACTATTTAATAGACTACTATTATTTTAATTGTTTTTGCTACTTTTTATGCTTATTAGTTTTTTTTTTTTTTTGACTATATTCATGAACATGAACGTCTTGGGATAAAATGCATATTGCATCTGCCTTTTACTTCATCACTTGTTATACAATGCTTGTGAATTTTCTTCCAGGTTGCTGATGTAAAAAAGAACATAGAAACTATTCAAGGGGCAGATGTTTATCCTGCTGCACAACAAATGCTTATTCATAAAGGCAAAGTTCTTAAAGATGACATGACACTGGCTGAGAACAGTGTCGCTGAAAATAGCTTTATTGTTATCATGTTGACTAAGGTGAGATTGGTTACAAACTTACAATATCGAGATCCTTAAATTCTCTCCCCCCCTCCCTTCCTTCTCTCTCTCTATCTGTCTCTCATATTTGTAAATTTTAAGCTAACTCTTTCTGACCTTGCTGACCAAAGCATGCTTAAATGCCTAAACTGAAATAATTTTTTGATGTGGCTGTTGAAGTCAAAAGTTATGTAAGTTATGGCTTATGATGGAGTGTGGTATCATTATGTTTTTTTGAAATCTGGTTGTTGCCTTGCTTTAATTGCATCTTATAAAATGTCAATTTGTTGCTAAACCAGAAATATGACTACTTTGTGTCATTTGTTGGCCTTTAACCTACTTGTATCTTCATTTGTTTTCCATTACTGTCATTTCAATATTAATTATTTACCTTTTTTGCTTAAACTAATGCTAGAATAAGAGTTCAACTGGTGAGGGTTCTACTGCTTCAACAGCTCCTGCAACTAAAGTAAGATTATGATTTTGTCACCTCTCTTGCTGCATTTGCCTTTCTTTTTCTAAATATACTTATGCATGTGCATAATTGTTCGTGAGCAGTTATTGCCACTGTGCTTTTTCAGCTATATTGCTGAAAAGACATCTGCATTTGTATGGCATGAAAAAGCATTAGGATTCTGTTTTCTCCTAATGGAAGATGTTCTTCACTTAAATGCTATGATGAGTGATGAGCAAGCCGCTTGAACAAAGGCAATTTGTATATGTTTAAATCATTAAATAGGTTACAGGTAGTGAATTGAATGATTTAAGACGTTGGTTTTTCAGATATGACACAGGTTTGAGTTGTTTTGCCTCTAAAGCCTTCCTATCTGACTCAAACTATTGAGCAATAAACATAATGCATAATGTTGGAGTCTGAGTTGGTCTAATACCAAACTTGGTCTCTCTTTTAAACATTTTTGAGTTAGTTGCATGATCTCTTATTCAAGTTAATCAATTTCCCATTTGTTTTCTCTTTTTTCCCTTCCGATAGCATATCAACAAGAAAACTAAGGCCACCATCCCACTCTCTCCTCATTGACTCCATCTACAAGAGTTTAACTTTAACTAGCAAATTTGCTTTTTTGATTTATTTAATGCCACAATAATGTGTGAATGTGTGAAAACTTAGCTATTAACTCATAAAATTTGATCTTCAAATTTCTTTGAGTATGAATATAAATGTTTTTTTTTTTGTTTTTTTTTTTATATACTATACAGTTTTAGGGTAAGTTACTTCAAAAAACTGTGCAGAGTTTGCAAAAGTTATTGAGTGAGTAGTTATTTTGGATGGAAATATTTTCTTACTCTTTTCTCATAGTAGATAAAATGTCTTCTTTGTAGGCTCCCCAGGCAAGTGCACCACCACCGGCTCCAGCACCAGCTTCTACTGCACCTGTTGCAACTTCAGCTACGTAAGTTCAGTTATTCCACACTTTTGTTAAGATAGAACAGCTAACTGATTAATTGCTTATTAACTGTTTTTCAGGGCTGCTCCTGTCACTGAATCTGCTCCTGTTGCTTCGAGTACTACTGTGTGAGTAACTTATTCTCGTATAGTAACTTCATGCTTCTTATTTGAAGGATGCAAGGCATGCTTTTGATATAATCTGTCTTCAAGTGCTTTCAATAGGCAAGCTTTTAGTTTTCCTCTTTTGCCTTTTGTATTTTTGTAATTTCTTGAATAATGTCTTTGGAAACAGGTCAGAGTCTGATGTTTATGGCCAAGCAGCATCTAATCTGGTTGCAGGAAGTAACTTAGAGGGAGCAATCCAACAAATTCTTGATATGGGTGGAGGGACCTGGGATAGGGATACTGTTGTCCGTGCCCTTCGTGCTGCTTATAATAACCCAGAAAGAGCTGTTGAATATTTGTATTCTGTAAGTACTTGTATTTCACTTGAAGATGGTGAAGCAAATGCTTTCTTGATGAGTGCATCCAGTTGCCAACTTATGCATAGGGTTATTGACAGTTTACTGTCATTGTTTTATTGTTCTCCTTAATGTATTCTAATAGGCTGAGCTCTTCTTGAGAGCTTTTCTGGGAATGATGATTAGATCATTTGTGTCATTCATAATTAGATGAAATTCTACTTGCAACTTGGTTTTTGCCCTTGGTGCATGATGATTAAATTTCTATACAATCAAAATATGCTTCCTTTGTTCCTTTTTGCTGGTACTTTTTGACTTGGTGGATAGGTGTGCGGTTTTTGGAGCAAAAAATATGCTATGTGTAGGAATTGTGAATTTTTCTTTGATTATTTGTTTTTTTTTTTTTGAAAAATCTTGAAATCATATGCCTTACATATCAAGAGTAGTGATATTCACTTTTTGTTATCCCCTCCCTGTCAAAAAAAAAAAAAAAGGAACAGGAACAGGAAAGCTGGATTTGTATAATATGATGGGTTTTAATGACATTTTATACTGCACCATTTGACATTTCTTGTCCCGGTCCTACAGTGTTGCATTGTCTTCTGTAAATTTGTTAATTTCATTTACCCAAGTCTTTACATGACTTAAAAACAGTCCATTTTGTTTATTAGAATAAGCATTCATCTTGTTTCCTACAATTGAGCTGCTTCTTTTCGTTTTATATAAAATTTCATTTCAAATATTAGGGTATCCCTGAGCAAGGTGAAGCTCCACCTGTTACCCGTGCCCCTATAGTTGCGCAAACCACTAACCCTCCGGCACAGGCTCAACAGCCAGCACAAGCAGCAGCTGTTCCTACAAGTGGACCTAATGCCAATCCGTTAGACCTCTTTCCCCAGGTATAGTTGCCATGCAGTAAATGTGTTAAACTAGATTACGGAAAACTTTAACATTGACTTGATGGTCTTCTATTGATGCAGGGCATTCCCAACATTGGTGCAGGTGGTGCTGGGGCAGGCACTCTTGATTTTTTACGTAACAGTCCACAGGTCTCACTCTCTCTCTGTCTCTTTCTCTTCATATGGATGTATATGGGCTTGTGGGTATGACTGTCATGTAGATTCCTACCTACAACTAAGATCATTTTGCCTTTCTTGTTTCAGTTCCAAGCTTTGCGAGCGATGGTGCAGGCCAACCCACAAATAATGCAGGTTATTCTCTGATCCCTTGTTTCTGCTGCTCATGTGTGTTTTTCAATTTTCTTTTTGTTGTCCACCTTGTCTGAAGGGTTCTGTTTATTTATTTTGCAGCCTATGCTTCAAGAGTTGGGGAAACAAAATCCTCATCTAGTGAGACTTATTCAAGAGCATCAGGCCGACTTTATTCGCCTGATCAATGAACCTGCTGAAGGTGGAGAGGGGTGAGTCTTGTCATTTTTATTTGCTTATTTCATGAACCTAGTTGTGAATGTATATCAATGCTTATTTGCTGTCTTCTGTGTCATAGGAACATATTGGGGCAATTGGCTGAGGCAATGCCGCAAGCTATACAAGTCACACCTGAGGAACGGGATGCCATAGAACGGGTAAGGCATCTTTTGCATAAAAGCAGACTTGGATGTGTGCATTATCCCTGGTACTTATAGATTATTTACCTATCATTGCCATTGCTTGTGGAAATATCTTACTCAATTTCTTTCGCCTTGATCTTTGTAATGAGATTAGGGCAAATGGATGAACATATGCATTAGATATTTGTTGTAGGCAATAGTTTTAGATAATTGGTTAAAATAATGGTGTCAGGATTGATAATTTTGTGTCAACTTTGTTGCTTTGAATTTGTGCCTACAATGATACGGTTCATAATCTACTTTATTCACTATCTCTTACAGCTTGAAGCAATGGGCTTTGATCGAGCAACCGTGCTCCAAGTGTTCTTTGCCTGCAACAAGAATGAGGAACTGGCAGCCAACTACCTTTTAGATCATATGCATGATTTTGAGGATTGATTTGGTAAAGAAAATGGTTAGGTGAAGTACAATTTTTTTGTCTTACTGTTATTCATGTTTCTCCCCCCTCCCTCCCAACTCGAGTGGCTTTTATTTCTTAATCAAGTTATGTGAAGTGTTTGGTGCAGACGCAAGGGATGTCAAGGTGTACCTTTCTTCGTTTTTAAGGACCATTATAACGTCAAATACAAGTGTCTTTCTAAGTTTGTGTGTACTGTAGAAATGATTTGCATGCAATCATTTATTTGCCTTTTAAAACTTTCTTAATTAGTTTACATTGAATTTAGAGCCTCATCCTTGTCGTCTCAAGGGGATTAGTTCTCTTCATCGAAGAGTGGAGGCCTAACTCCCAAGTTTCTTCAAGTTCAATTCCAACTTGAGCCATAGTACTTGCCCAAGGTTGTTATTGTACAGCAACATGCTCCACTAAACTATCACAAGAAGCAAGCACATGTTCCACTAAACTTTATCACAAGTTTTTCCAGCAATTCTCTATTTCTCTTTCCAGCTTTAAGCCGTTAGCTTTTAACCCAAGCGCTACAAAATGCTCTATGCAAGAGTTCATTGCCCCTCAAAAGCAAATTTGCCGAGTATTTTGAAGGCTTTTTATGACACAGTTGCCTCACAAAGGCACAAATTGGTTGATACAAAATGGGTAAAAAAGAGAATTTAAGGCACAAATTACTTCAAAGGCTAGATGGGTTGATCTTGATAGCTCCCGCTAATGTTATTGAAGTGTTTTTGTACTCCAAAATATAGAGGAAAAGCAATGAAAGCAATTGTGCAATGTCCCTTGGTGATAAACGACAAACAAAAACAACATATAAATTTTTTCAGAGAACGCTGTCGTATTTTGGTAGTTAATTGCCTCTTCCAAGTCTTTTCTGTTGGGCCTTAACCGAATATGTATGTATATAGCTGATAATTAGTCAAATACGAATCTTGATAACAATATGCTGTTTGCAACATACATTTTTCAGGGACAAGAACTTTTCGCATGCTTCTCACTGTTGGAATCCACAATTATCATTATTATTTGTTCGTTTGTTGGTTAAACGCATGCGGATTAGATTAGAACCATAAACAAAGAAGCCGTGTGGTTGTGGTGCAGGCCGTGCGCCACTTCCTGCGCCCATCCATTTGAATGTTTGAAAGCTGAATGACTTGAACGTTAATGAACATGTCCAAACCTGACAATACATCCCAACCCTTTGCTATCGGGCCCTACAACAACACGCTTGTACTCTACATTCCGTCCATCTTTTTTGGTGAAAATGAGAGCATTTAGCACTCTCTTGTTCTAGAAACTGAGAAAAGGGGGGCAATTAATTTAACACGTGAGACCAAGTTATACCAGTATGAAATTGCAATGAAACAAATGCAGTGCAAAGCAGTACAGTCCACCTTTTTTCCTACTGCCCCCACCCCCACTTTCTTCTCCGCGTGAAGACGGAAGACCTAACACGTGAAATTGACCCAAATGAAAAATATTTTGGTTGTAAAATCATCTCTTACTTTTGGGTCAAAGTTGGAGGCAAAAAGCGATAGGTCTGGTCACAGCTGACCTGACCCCCTCAACATGCCAGATACATACTCGAATGGTGACCACTCTAATATGGAAGACCATAGTTTTGGATTAAGTTTGGTTTATGCTCCACAATCAGATAAAATGAAAGCAACTAGACAAAGAAAAATCACACTAGTGTTGAATGGTGTTTGTCCATCTATATTCTCTTCATTCCTTTGCGTTTGTCATCTCTTATGTCATCTCTTTTATTGTTTTCTTTCTGTTCGCTCACAGTGGAATATCAGCTAGAAAATAACACCACAAAATCTTCAACGCTTCCAAAACATTTCAAGGTAACATCATAACAACAAATTTTCTAACTCAAACAACCCATGTATTGTCTGTTCTAACAATATTAAATACATGTTTTTTAAATAGTAAGTATAAAATTTAAGCTTGTTCCTCAACATGTGCTGCACATAAAATCACACTGCGCAATCAGAAATGAATTTTTAAGCTACATGAAGTTGATTAAGGGTACGTGAATAATTACGTGCTTCAATTCTTTTTAATGTACCAATGAATCAAGTTATATTTTGAGTTACGTACTCAACTCAATTTGCCAAATACTTGAACTTGTTTTGTTATATTTGTTTGCTGAGTTTAAGATTAAGTAGCATAACGAGTCGAGCTGAGTTTTGATTTTTTAAGGGAACGTGCCAGTATTAAGTTCATTCAGTTTTGGCACGTTTGAATTCAAAACTTTATGAACACGAAATTAAAGGAAGCCTTGATATAAGTACGCAGTCGTATTAAGTAGGCCAAATCATAGTTTAACCCCTCACACTTGTTTTTTATTTCACCAATCAATCTCTCATAGTTCGGAGTCCTAGAGTCAAATTTTTGCATTTAATAGTATAATTACATGCTAAAAGCAATGTTTTCGGCCCTTGATTCTTATCAATATGGATAAAAAGTTTGAAAAATTTTGTTTTCAGATTTTTTTAAATATGAAATGCTTTCCAAGCAATTATTTTATGATATAATTGATTGATATATTACTCCATAAATTAAATGTATCATTGCAGGCAATTGAGTTGCTGGCTTCTCAACAATTTAATTAATTTTTTATTAAATTTAAAATTTAATTCACTTTTTGCATGTAATCACATTAAAAAGTGATATCTCATATATTTAGAATTCAAATTTCGGCATCTATAATTTATTCCCTTATCTCTAATGAATGACATCTTTTGTACAAATTTAAAAAAATGATCCTTCAACCTTTAATTACTTAAGTTGATTTTTTTTTTAAAAAAAAAATAGGATTATCCACTTTTCCTATTTAATTTCCCTTCATTATTTCATTCTACCTTCTTTCAACTTAATTTGTAAACATGATAATTAGTAATCCCATGTAATCAGTTCATTATAAGTACAATTCTATTTAAACAACTCAAGTTTAGGTCAATAATTTTTTTTTGGGTTTGATATATAGTTTAATTAGCTCAATAATTATATATAAATGTTCTTATTACCGCTGTACCCAAAGGAAAAAAATTTCTTGTTACCCCACAGTGGACAAGGCTAGCTGTTAGGAAATGAAAGCCAACAGACAGACGTAGAAGTGGTGTCAGAGGGCAAGTTGTAAGGAAATGAAAGGTTGTAATCGTCTAAATCAGTCAATCCCAAAATATTCTAATCTCCTTCTTAATCATATGATTTCGATGTGTATATGATTCACAAAAAAAAAAAAAAATCATGTTAACGATAGTTTTTAGGCCACTAAAACCTATGCATTGTCTTCTTCTGCCCCATTTCTCAAAAATTGGTGAGGAAACGTCCAATACGCCATTTCGTCAGCAAATTTCCCACCCTTAATGCAAAGTGAAGATATATATATATATATATATATATTTAAGCTTTAATCATAGGGACAGAAAAGCAGGTAATGTTAGAAGATAAGTTTTTCTCTTTGTCCTTTGTTTGACTTTTATAGATTACACGTCTCTACCTGTTTCTGTTTCCTCCTTCATGATCAAATTTTAATTCCACCAATCGCTTTTATGGCATCACATTACCATTGATGAACAACAATTTTAGTTGCAAATACTGAAAATTGAGCTCTCGCAGTTGAGTCTGATGGAAAAACACAGCAACATGAATGGGAATGAAGTGGAGGGGAGAGACAACAAGAGTGGAAATAAGGAAAAGAATGATAGCTTTGGTAGTTCTGAAAATACTGCTGATCAGCAGAGTAACAGACTTGTCGAAGACGAAAAGGGTGGGATTAAGACAATGCCCTTCATCATAGGTAAGCTACCTTGTAGTTGATAGAAGTTGAAATCTTAGATTTGTTTTTCATTTTTGGTGTATTGATGTTTTATTAAGCTTATTTGATGCAGCAAATGAGATATGTGAGAAATTGGCAATGGTGGGATTCAGTAAAAACATGGTTAACTACTTAACAGACCAGCTTCACATGCCACTAACAAAAGCAGCCAACACTGTCACCAACTTCAGTGGTACATCGAGCTTGACGCCATTGCTTGGAGCCTTCATTGCTGATTCATATGCTGGGAAATTTTGGACTATCACTTTTGCAACAGCTATATACCTACTAGTGAGAATGGATACGTTTTCCCTATAGAGATTTTCCTTGAATGATTGTTTCTTTCATTTGTGAGAGCTTTCAATTATCTGTATAGTTGGAGAAGAGGAAATTGGTTCAATCACTTTTGATGAAGTATGCTAAGTGGATCTCAAAATTGTTTATAAAAATATAGTCAAATCTAACCAAGTGTTTGATCTTAATAAATTAACTTGGAAGTGGGAGTTTTAACTAATTTGATATTCTCTGTTAAAATTTTAATCTGAGCAGGGAATGATACTCCTAACACTCTCAGCAGTACTGCCAAAGCTAGGGCCACCACCATGTGAAGGTAACCAAGTTTGTCAAGAAGCCAGTGGCGGCCAATTGGCTGTTCTCTACCTGTCTCTTCTACTGGCAGCCATAGGATCAGGCGGGATCAGGCCATGCGTGGCGGCGTTTGGGGCAGATCAATTTGTTGAGGAGGATCCTAGGCATCCTAAAAAAACATGGGTCTACTTTAATTGGTATTTCTTTGCATTGGGAGTCTCAATATTATTAGCATCAACCGTGCTTGTTTATATTCAAGATAATGTTGGATGGAGCTGGGGCCTCGGAATTCCCACCATTGCCATGGGTTTGTCAATAAGTATTTTTCTGATTGGTTACCCTCTTTACCGGAATCTGGATCCTGCCGGGAGTCCTTACACTCGGGTGTTACAAGTATTTGTTGCGGCATTTAGGAAGAGAAAGCTTCCCTTGATTTCAGATCCTAAATTTTTGTATGTGAACAAGGAGCTTGATGCATCGATTTCCACTGACGGACTGCTTCATCATACAAAACAATTGAAGTAAGTCATCACTTGCCAAATGCCTTATATCATATGATTAAAATTTAAGCTGTTTCCAACTCATCTATGCACGAATTGCAGATTTCTGGATAAGGCTGCCATCGTAACTGAAGAAGATACTCTCAAATCTTCAGAAAAACCGAATTTGTGGAGATTGAACACCGTTCATAGAGTTGAAGAATTAAAATCTATACTAAGAATGTTACCAATTTGGGCAGCTGGTATTCTCTTTGCCACATCCTCTGCCCAACAAAACACATTTTCGCTACAACAAGCCAAAACAATGGACAGACACCTTACGAAGTCCTTTCAAATCCCTTCTGCTTCCATGTCCGTTTTCACCATGTTCTCCATGCTCATCACAATAGTCTTATATGATCGACTATTGGTTCCTGTTGCCCGCAAGTTCACAGGGATTGACCGGGGCATAAACTTTTTGCATCGGATGGCCATAGGCTTTTTCATCTCAATACTGGCAACTCTAGTAGCTGGATTCATTGAAGTGAAGAGAAAACACGCAGCCTTAGTCAATGGGCTGATTGACAGCCCCAAATCTACAATTTCCATCTCAGTATTTTGGCTTGTGCCACAGTATAGCCTTCATGGTATTGCAGAGGCTTTCATGGTAATTGGTCACCTTGAATTTTTCTATAACCAAGCACCAGAGAGCATGAGGAGCACAGCTGCTGCTTTGTTCTGGACATCGATTTCAGCTGGGGACTATACAAGCACACTTTTGGTCACTTTGTTGCACAAGTATACGAACTGGCTTCCCAATAAGAACCTGAATAAGGGGAAGTTGGAGTATTTTTACTGGTTGCTCACGTTTTTGCAAGTTCTAAACTATGTATACTACTTAATATGTGCAAAATTTTACACTTTCAAGCCTCTCCAGAGCCAGAGAACAGAAGCTGGCAACGACCAATATGGTGAGGGGGTTGAGCTTGCTAGCCAAGTTTAACTGTATTTGCTTAGCAATTAGCTTGGTTAGGAACAAATAATAATATATAGCTTCTTGTCTCTACAGATTTTCCTCTCTTACTTTTTACATGCCATGTATATTAACCAATGATCAGTTGTTTTCTTGTTTTGCCCCGGTTCTTCCTAGAGAATGAAGTGCTCCAAAATTGAGCAGAGACAAGCTTCCTTTTTCATACTGCGGCTAACAAAAACAATGTGTTGGGCCTTGGTGGCTTTGTACTCAATTACACTTTTCATAAAGCGTAATTACTTTCTATCATAATTGAACAAGTGATAGTCGAATATTCATTCAGGAATTGACTACATCTTTTCATCTGCCATGACTTTCAATCCCATGTTGAATTTATATTTTTTGGTACATAAGACCATTTGCATGCAATTGACCCTTGACTTACAGCAAGTACTCCTATGTATCTGTCAGCATTTGTATTTATATATTTATCTACTATTCAAATGCTGAGAGAGATTTTATACTTATTGAAACATTGGATATATATGGATGCCTAATTTTTATTTGAAACATTGGATATATATGGAGGCCTAATTTTTATTACAAACATTAATATTTTATACTCATTGACAATCACTATGCATCGGTCGATCTAATTTTCAGAAACAACTAACAATTATACAACTGAAAAAAAAAACCCAAATTTGATATTGGCAATATTGTCTGTTTCATGACTTCCATATACCCCATAAGATAACCCTCTTGTCTAAGCCTTTTTTTAAAACCAAATCATGGCTAATACGATGTTTTTAATTAAGACTTCATGGGAAGTTAAAAATGTCATGAGAAGAAACAAAGATTTCGCTGTCGTCCTGACCTGTCTCATTGCATCTCGGTTCTTATCAATGGAAAATTTATCGATTTCATCAGTATATTAAAGAGTTAGTTATAGCATCGAACAGGTTATTGGAAAAAGACGCCACCATAAATCTGATATGGATAAACTTGGGGTGTGGTAGAAATACATGCAAATTAAGACTGGCAATATGGCCGTGGCAGACCAAGATAGCAGCCATGGAAAGACTGAAAATGCTGATCTCGAGCAAAGAAATAGAGCTTTCAATGAGAAAAAGGGAGGCACAAAGACAATGCCTTTCATCTTAGGTAATTAGCTTTCGAATAGTTGGTTATATAGAGTTTTAATTTACACAATTGGGTAATAATTAATATGATTGCATTTTGCTTTCCTCATGTTTTGTTGGTGTAGCTAGCAAATGACATGTCCGAGAGGTTTGCAATGCTAGGTTTCAACAAAAACATGCTACTTGACAAAACAACTTCATGTGCCAATAACAAAAGCAGCCAATACGGTCATCCATTTCAATGGAACTGCTAGCTTGACGCCATTGCTCGGAGCCTTCCTCGCTGATTCATATGCTGGAAGATTTTGGACCATCACTTTGGAATCCACCATATACCTTCTAGTTAAGAGACCTTTCCCTTTTCCATAATTTTTATCCCATTTCAAGTGGCATACACACACTAATTTTATTCAGATTGAAAACTAAATTTTGTTGATTTTTCCAATCTTTGTATAACCAGAGAATGATAAGCCTAACGTTATCAGCTGCATTGCCATATGAGGCCACCCCAGTGTGAAGGGAACCAATTAAATTTATGGAGACTAAACATTGTTCTGAGAGTTGAAAAGTTAAAATCCATGATCAGATTGTTACCCATTGGGAAAGCTGGAATTCTATTTGCCACGTACGGCTGATGCCCAACAAGGCACTTTCTCAATTCAGCAAGCCAATACCATGGACAAACACCTAGCAAAGTCTAATTTTCCAAATCCCCTTAGCTTCAATGTCCATCTGTTCAATGCTCATTACAATAGCTTTATACGACCGGCTATTTGTTCCTATTGCACGCGAATTCACAGGTCACGACCGGGGCATAAGCTATTTGCACCGGAATGCATTTCACTTTCAGTGCCTTGACTCTAATCTCAGTTAGGAGAATTATTGAGCCACATTAGTTCACATGCGGCGTTAGCCATAGCTCTATACTCAGCTTCAGCGCTTGACCGGGTCACCTTCCGGCGTCAAATAACTGTTAATCTTCGTAACTTCGGGATAAGGGGTGCTATCCTATATCTAGAGTAGTAAGAGTATGTGAAGCTCCTACTACTACTCAAAATAAGTATACCACTTCGTAAGGTGTCAGTTAGTTATTCCCTTTCAATAAAGAAGTTAGACGTGGACTCAAGAATCGTCACAAATTATTTTTGTTTATGTGCGATTGATTATTTAATTGTATATATATTTTTTTTAAAGAGAAATTTTAAGTTTGATTTAAGTATTTTTAAAAGGTAGATTCAATGTCTGCGAAATCAGAATTAGGTTCGAGAGTACGATTACGTATAGTACTCTCACAACACCTATCAAAAGATGGTACCAGCTCGATTTCGTATTATCCATTAAACTTTAAAAATTTTATCAAGTAATTAATTATTAAAAATTTTTAATTGACTCTAATACTTTTGGCAAAAAATTAAAAAAATTCCTTCACCTTAAGAATATATAAAAAAATTATTGTTTTTCTTACAGAGGTTCTATCGTCGAATTATTTAACATTAAAATTTTTTTTAAAAAAATTGATACTTTCAATTCTTCTTCAAACAAACATTTCTTGAAAGTTTTATTTTCAAAAAAAATTTAGACTTTCAACTTTTCCTCAAAATATTCTTTTTGAAAGTTTTATTTTCAAGAAAAATTAATACTCTCAACTTTTTCTCAAAATATTTTTTTGAAAATTTTATTTTCAAGGAAAATTTATACTTTCAACTTTTCTTCAAAAGTACTTTTTGAAATCTTTATTTTCAAGAAAAATTAATATTTTCAACTTTTCCTTAAAAATACTTTTTTGAAATCTCATTTTTATTTTATTTTCAAGAAAAATTGATACTTTCAATTTTTCATCAAAAATACTTTTTTTAAATATAAATTTTTAAGAAAAATTGATACTTTCAACTTTTCTCAAAAATATTTTTTGAAAATTTTATTTTAAGAGAATTGTTGAAAAATTAAAAAATGCTTACTTAAATAAATAAATAATTTCAATTTAATCAATAAATAAATAAGCACAAAAAATAATAAACAGATAAAAAAGAGAAAAAAAAAACACCTTGATGCTGCTCGATTTGGCTGAAATGGAATGCGACTCCAGAGATAGGTGCGATCAAAACGGCTTGGTACACAACTTGGCTTAACGACTCAATAGAGACTGAATGAAGCAGGTAAGCTGGTCGATGCGCTACGGGTCGAGTCGGATCTTGGGTGACTTGTGAATCCTGCCCACTATTGACTTCTCAAAATGACGTCATTTTCACGTTAGTATAAAAGCAAAAAATTTCTTTTCCTCAAATGCTCCTTCCTTTTCTCTCTTTTCCCTTCAGTTTTCTCTGCGTCCTTCTTTAGACACAAAGAACTCCAGTGAAATTCTTGCTAGTTTCTAGGTTTTATTGTCGAAAACTAGATTTTTTGCTAAAAAAATTGTCGAAAAACTTAAATTTCGCAAGAAAATTCATTTGATTCAAAAAATTTTCAGAAAAAAAAGTTCTAAAAAAAACTAATCCTCCAATCTGAACAATGAATCTCCCAAAACCCCTTTACTGCAAATTATAGCTTCTTCGAATTTTTTTTATTCTGGCTACTAGTTTCCTCCTTCTTTCTCTAAGTTTTTTCTTTTATTGCTAAAGGATATATGTAGGACCGGGGAATGAGGGTTTTGAAAATCAAAATCCCTATCTTTCAATCTGTTTATCCTCATTTAAAAAAAACCAAATCCTTTTTCTGATTCTATTTTCAAAATTTAAACCTTAATCCTAGAGTTTTAGTAAGACTGAAATTTTACTTTTATTTTTAAAATTATATTAATCTTATCTAAAATTCACCAAAAAAATAAATCCAAAAATGGGTGTTTACAGTGACTTAGAACGAAAATTTCCTTAATTTTCAGCCTCCAAACATAGCTTTTTTTAAAAAAAAAAAGAAAAAGTAACCTGTTTCTATCTATTTTTGCCTATGTCCTAACCTAACTTTGAAATTTTTGACCATTAGTCTAATTAGATCAAGGAAAAAATTATAATAGCATAAATCCTTCCTATCATGTCAACTATAAATTTAATAAATTCGAACACAATACCTAATTATCTTTAATTTGTTCCAGACCACAAGGGGGCCAGATCCGATAGACCGACACCCACCACCACCGTACCACTACTTGTATTTGGTTCTCCATAAAAAAAAAAGTTTTATGAACTTCATCTAAATGATTTTATTTAAATTTAGTTAATTATCTAATTATTAGATAACTAACTTAAGTTGCAACTATATGCTTAAGATAATTCTTTTTTTTTTTTAAGAAATAATGCTTAAGAAACTTCTGATATATCATGTTTGGCACTAAATCATAAGAAAAGTTTGTTTGAGGTTTCTATTAATTTCATGTGTCATGGATTGTTCCTCTTTACAAAAATTTCATAACATTTTCTGAAGTTGGAAATGCATGTTATCTTGAATAATTCATGTGGCCTCATTAACAGAAAATCCTCAATTAAAACAATAAAGAAAAATGGATGCCATTAATTTTGAATACAATCTTATTGTCTATCTTGTGGGTGCCAATAAGCATAGTGTTGCATCTTTCTGAAAAAGCCTTAACATAAGTGTCATTTATTACACATTTTGAACAAGAAATTTTGACACTAATTAAGAATTTTTTATATATTTATTATGAATTTATATTTGATATATTGTAATGTATAAATTCTATATATTATCAATGAATCAGATGATATTATTTTATTAATGAAATTTTTTTAAAAAAAATTAATTTATTTTATATTTATTTCAAGGGTTTGTAAAATTTTATATTTAGTCATTGATAAAGTGGTATGTTTCAATGACAATATATCAAATATAAATTTTTTTAATTGTTTTGAAAGGTCTTCAAGTTTGATTAATTAGTTCATTGATGGAAAAATAATGTATATCATAATATGTGGAAGACGACAAAATATTCATCTCTTCTCAGATCTAACTGGGAGGTCACATTCCAACCAGTTCCTTTTTTCCAATTTGGAAAAGGACTACTTAAAATATTTCAAATTTTAACCTCGAAATTTTTATTTTTTTTTGGTTATTTGAAGCTAGTTCGAAATTGAGACATTCAATTTTGGAATCGTAGATTTTAATATCATTGAATTAACATATTAATATATCTTTTGGAATATCCGAAATGAATTAATCACGAAAATATCATGGTTATGCTGCAAATTAATTTGTCGTGACAGAAACTAATATGGGAAATATAGAATTATGTTCATGAGACTCTTAATAAGTACAAGAAATATTGAACTAGCTAATTAAATTGAATTCTCCAATCATTTATATACCAGAAATTCAGAGAACAGATAAATATTCCTTAACAGTTCCTGAAGCCAACTAAACTATCATATCGAAGAAGATCTGATCTTATTCTCTACCATGACTTTTGGGACACTCTTTTCACAAAATCAAACAAAAAAGGGTTCAACAATCATGCACAAAACAACGCACGCTGAAAGTTATCCTAAGGACTACGTGCCCTTCCTTCCAAAGGACACGCATGCCCTCACCGCCCCATTCTTCTCAAGATTACGTGCCCTTCATTTCTTGTTCTTTTTTCTTTCCTGCTATGTTTATGGGCAAAAAAGCTGGGTACCACTTACTTAAAGAACTCTAAAACTGAAACAAATGAAATTGGTTTTGAGGAAATGTGGGGGTAAAAATAAACGTAAATTTGGAGGACCACTTGGTCTGGCTAATTAACTGTTCCCTTAAAAAGGGCCACCCTCCAGACTTCTCAGAGACCCCACTTCCTGATTTGCCCTAATCATAATGAAACTACAGGGAGTCTCAATTAATTGGTTTGATTTTGACCTGATTCAAATCACGGGAGGCTAAGAAAAGTAGGAACACATGGTTGAGACAAACCATCCTTCTTCTATCAAAATCCAGTTTGCTGTTGCAATTCTTTTCTATGTCTGATAATTAGAGCTTTTGGGATTATGATTTGGAACCCATTTTTTTTCCCTTCATTTACTGTACTTTTATTCCTTCTTGGTTTTGCTTGCATCATCTCACACGTCAACTCCATGAGGGTTCCCTTTTTTGCCTTTAAAAAGGGCTCAATAAAGGAGTCCTCTAGAAGATTTTATATATCAAACCTTCAATTAACTTCCTGTCTATAGGTGGATGATTTTTTTTCTTGTACTTGAAATGATTAAGAATTGAAATTTGATTACAAAACCTAAAATTCTATTATTAACAGATTACATGATTATTAACGTCCAAAGAGTAAGCATAGCTCGACACTAGCAACTTGCCCTAGCTAGCTACTTAACCAAATATAAAAGTTATGGTCGTTTCTCTGGTGAGGCATGGATTCATGTTAAATACTTAAAACCTGTGCCAGAAAGTTCAATCAATCAATTACGAATCTTGTTTGAAAAAAGAGTACTGATGGCTTAAATTATTAGAAACTTGTTATCTTCAATATATTAAGTTTATGCATGATCTTTGGTTTTTATTCAATGAAGTTTAACAATTCTAATTTCAACCCTTAATGACCATGAATTACTGATTGTTACTCTATCACATGTGATTGAAGAAAGAGTATTATCAAAAGGATTTATATTTAATGTATTATTAGTATAAGTTTTATACATTGTTAGTAAATCGAATGATGTCACCATATTAATGAAGTGAATAAGGTGATAATACTTTATTAATAAGTAAATTTTTTTTAAAAATATTTTTGTATATTTATTTTAATGATTAATATTCATTCATTAATAAAATGATATTATATGATTCATTGAAGATATATAAAATTTATATATTGACGATGCATCGATTATAAACTTTTATCAAAATACTAGAATAAATGAAAATGGGTAAGTGAATTAATTAGTGCAAAAGAGACTGAAAAAACGTACGAGGATTATTGCTGTGTGGGAATTAAATTTGAATCCTTTTGTCAGCTTAGAGCTAAAAGTTAACCTCGATCTTTTGGTTTTTGAACAATTTCTCGTACAATTATTAAGAAAGGTTAGGCCAAGTAGTGATCCATCCCGTGGCTGCCACCTCAACTGGATCCCATATCAGCAATACAATAATACAAACAAACAAAAGGCTGAAAACAGCAGAACTTCTATGTCCTTGTCCTTTCATGTGTCACTTTTGTATTTAATTTTTACGAAAGTTCACTCTCATGTATCCAACTTTTATACTGCTCTCAATTTGTGGCCGTCGTAGATATTATGCAGTAAACCCTCTCTGTTCAAAAAAAAAAGTTAACGGCCACTGGTTTACAAGAGTTAAAACCCTTTCAACCCGGCCTATAAATAGGCTTCCGAAGACACCATTTCATTACAGGAACTGGCTAGAGCAGTAAGATGGAGAAAATGGAGGAGAATAATCATGAAGAAAACAATGTTAAAAGGCCGAAAGGAGGAATGATAACCATGCCCTTCATCTTTTGTAAGCTTTCGTCAATTTTGTGTGTATGCGTGTGCATGTATATGTATACACTTTTTTTTTTTGTAATTGCACTCGATTTACTTAAGAATTTCCTCTTGTCTATGTTGTTATTGTTATAATTGGACTTCGGTTTAATTTATTGTTGGTTTGTTTTTTACATGATGCAGCAAATGAGGTCTGTGAGAAGTTGGCCGTGGTAGGATTTAACGCTAATATGATCAGCTACTTAACAACACAGCTTCATATGCCATTAACCAAAGCAGCCAACACTCTCACAAACTTCGGTGGAACTGCAAGCTTGACACCACTGCTTGGGGCCTTTATAGCTGATGCATACGCCGGTCGTTTTTGGACTCTAACAGTCGCTTCCATCATATACCAAATAGTAAGGTTCTCAGATTCATGAAAGAGATGCTCATCGAATTTTAGTTTGCTTTTTATTTATTTTTAACCTTTGGCTTCTTTTAAGATTGTTGTCAAGAACTGATCTCCCTAAAGAATCAAAGATTCTATGTTGTTCATGTGTCAAAATCAAATAGCTAGCGCTTCCTTCTCTTTTTCTTCACTTCCGAAGTCATAATTATTAACAAAATCTTTGTTCTTATTTAATTGATTGAATCAGGGGATGACATCTTTAACACTATCAGCAATACTTCCACAATTTAGGCCACCACCATGTAAAGGTGAGCAAGTGTGCCAACAAGCTACTTCAGGACAATTGGCAATCCTATACGGATCTCTCTTGCTCGGAGCCTTGGGGTCGGGTGGGATCCGACCTTGTGTGGTTGCATTTGGGGCAGACCAGTTCGATGAAACTGATCCAAAGCAATCAACCAAGACATGGAAATACTTCAATTGGTACTATTTTGTGATGGGGGTATCTATCCTAGTGGCTGTGACAGTGCTTGTTTACATTCAAGATAACATTGGATGGGGATTGGGCCTTGGCATCCCCACCGTCGCCATGTTTCTCTCGATCATTGCTTTCGTCATCGGATACCCACTTTACCGACACATGGATCCGGCAGGGAGTCCATTTACCCGGTTGTTACAGGTCTCTGTGGCAGCTTTCAAGAAGAGGAAATTGGCTATGGTTTCTGATCCGAAGTTGCTGTACCGAAATGAAGAGCTTGACACCTCAATTTCTCTAGGCGGGAGGCTTGTTCACACTAAACAAATGACGTAAGTTGTCTCTTTCTAATCTCTGTCTTCACTTTCCTCCAACATACAGACAATTGCATCAATGGATGTCTAAATTAAGAGAAAATATAGGCTACTCAAAGTTGGAATTAATTGATCTTGAAACCGACTGTGATACGATAGCTAAATATAGTAGCATCGAAGTATGTTGTTGTCTATACATAGTAGTTGCTGATATCCCATGTTAAAGAAGGATGCCATGCATGCATATCATGACCGATGTAATCTTTTACCCTTTTTCTCTAGTTTTATTTTATTTTTATCTTATTCTTAAATTTCTCTTTTTATATTTTATAATTACCTAAGTTATGCTTTTAATTTTCGTCCCAAATTGCTATATTAACTTCTTTTTAAACTGTACCAAAATTATGGTTTTTTAATTCTTAATCATTTACAATACTCTTACTCTTTTTAATCATACTTGACATTGATTTTTTTTTTGGTTGTAAAAATAAATTAAAATAAACATTTTTCTTAAATTTTATATCCAGTCAAGTATGAAGGATGAATGAAGTATATGCAAATGATAAATTTTTCAAAAATATATTGTCACCTTATGTCTTCTCATATGTTCCTGTTAGTTTTCAGTATCAAGCTAAAGGAAAAAAATAGAAAATTGAAAGTAGAAAAGGTCACCTTTCTTTGATTTGATTGTCACCAACTTTTTTTCATCATCATGTTTGGTCAGATTCGTTCTCATTGTAGGATTCATTGTATGTGGGGATTCTTGAATATGCAAAAGACTCAATAATTTGTGAATTGTACAATAATTAGGAGGAGGGGCCACAACCTCTGATCTTATTCAGATCCACCGCACAATTTGTCCTTCCCATAATTGCATTTTATTTAGCAGAGAAATAAAAGCTCTTTATCACTGCATGTGGTTCGAGTGAAAAAAAAATGTGTTTTTTTTTTTTTGTCGTTTGGATTTGATTTTTTAGAAAACTTGAAAGGTTAATTTTTATAAATTTATTTAACTTTGATGTAAATAAATTTATATTAATCAATTTGAAAAAGAGATATACTGAATGAAATTCGAAATATCTCCTCACTAAATTAAAAAAAAAAAAAACAGAACAACAAAAAACAAAAGCTCTTTTTAGTTTCTTATCAGAAACAACCCCTCAGGCCCCAGGCCCCAGGCCCCAGGCCCCAGCAGACCCGACCATACAATGGAAACGCGTTTGCACTTTAAATCACCCGCAATTTGCGTCCTGAATTGGCCTTGTGCTGGAGTGGCCTGGGCCAGAAAAGCCATAAATATCAGCCCCCTGATATTGGTGGAATAAATTGACAGGTCAAATTTTCTTCCGCTTGCGTCTACATCGGAACAAATGTATAGGAAATTAGTAAATTAAACCCAAGAAGGAAGCAAGAAAAAAATTGCTAAAATATTTTTTTGTTGGCATAAATAAAAATAGTGATACCAAAAACCAATAATATTAAGCTTAAATTTGTTGCAATGAGATGGCTCTAAGTACTATTATGGTAAGCCGAATCAAGATTTACTAATTAATGTATATGGTGACTTTCAGATTTCTTGACAAGGCAGCCATTGTGACTGAAGAAGATTTCGTAAAATCCTCTCAGGCTCCCAACCTATGGAGACTGAACACTGTTCATCGAGTCGAGGAACTGAAATCTGTGATCCGAATGGGACCAATATGGGCAGCAGGGATCCTCCTCATTACAGCCTATGCTCAGCAAAGCACATTCTCCCTCCAACAAGCCAAAACCATGGACAGGCACCTCACAAAGTCCTTTGAAATCCCTGCTGGTTCCATGTCTGTCTTCACCATGGTCTCCATGCTCTCCACCATAGCCTTGTACGACCGCTTTTTAGTCCGCATTGCACGAAGATTCACAGGGCTTGACCGCGGTATCACCTTCTTGCACAGGATGGGAATCGGATTTATGATATCAATATTAGCCACTCTTGTAGCAGGCTTCGTTGAAGTGAAGCGTAAACAAGCAGCTTTGGCACATGGACTTCAAGACAAGGCTAAGTCAACCATCCCCATTTCAGTTTTCTGGCTTGTGCCGCAATACAGTCTTCATGGAATAGCTGAAGCTTTCATGGCGATTGGACACTTGGAATTCTTTTATGATCAGTCTCCTGAAAGCATGAGGAGCACTGCTACTGCACTGTTTTGGACTTCAATTTCAGTTGGGAATTATGTGAGCACGCTGCTGGTTTCTTTAGTCCACAAATTTAGTGCTGGACCTGATGAATCAAATTGGCTTCCAGATAACAACTTAAACAAGGGGAAATTGGAGTATTTTTACTGGTTACTCACTGGCATGCAAGTGGTTAATCTTCTTTACTACATCTGTTGTGCTAAGCTGTATACTTATAAGCCAATTCAAGTCCATAGCAAAGATAATGAATCTGAAGAAGATGGAGTAGAGCTTGCAAATGCAAGCAAGGTTTAGTTTGCATTTTCATGGAGTAGCTAGCCACTTGGTTAATTAGATGGTATGGTTCTTCCCTCTAAACCTGTCTAGTGATGGATCTTGTAAAGAAGTCAAGTAGATTTGTAATCTGAATTATAAGCATGTAAAGTACTAAATAATAGAAAGCAAAATCCACCAAAAGTGTTACATTTTGTAATATATGAAAAATAAAAATGTAGAAACTATTCTGTTTGTCTTCTTCTAGTTATAAAACCAGGAAATTAAGCAAAACCAAGAGAGAAAAAAATGTTCCTTAACCGCGCCTACACAATCAGTGTCCGCTTTCCTTTCTGTTCATTCTTTTGTAACAAATAATTCACTTTTTGGTTGCATGCTTTACACCGTGTCTTAGAGTACAATGAAACTGGGTCTGGAAATTCCAATTTAGATTGCATTAGTTATGAAAATTGATGGTAGAAGGTTCTTTGTCCATCCCAATTTCCCAACTAATCAATTAGAAAAAAAAAAAAAAACAATAATGATGATAATTACTTGTGGGAGTCTACTTACATTGGGGCCGCAATTAATGGTGAACCAAAATTTCATTTGATTCATCTCCATCAAACAGGCGAGAAAGTAACGAGTAACGACCGGAAAGGGAAGCAACATGGAATCAAAGGACCACATATGTGTTGGAATTTTCCAAAGGTTTTTTATGGTCTCCTCTGTTTCTCCAATTTTGTAAACCAGGTTCTTTCCTAGGTGGACCCTGCTTCTAGTGTTAACTGTAACATTCCCATAACACTTGTCGTGTTTTCATAACAGAAAAAATATGAATCAATCCCAACACGTAAAACTGTAGTCCAATTAACTCTATCTTTTCCTTTTGATGAAAATTCAAAATCTTAGGCGATTTCAAAGTGAACAAGGAATTGTAACTAACGACAAAAATAATAATAATAATAATAAAATATAAAGATCCTATGTAGCCATGGATGAAGCAGATAATGTTTCTGATGATTCTCAGACGAAGATGACAATGACAACGAAAACGCCTCTGTCAGCTATAGCTCACGCGTTTGAGGAGCTGTCGGAGTTCTTGGAATGTCAGGTGAAGGATGAAGAGCTTCGGTTGGATACATTCTGTGATGCATGTTCTTTAGTTTCTGTTCTTTTTAGCTCCCTTGGCCTCGCCTTCAGATTCGCCGAGATGGAGTGCGTCGTTAAGGTTCATTGCCTTTTTTTTTCCCTTAAAATTGATAGAAGTTTGTCATGTGGTACAGGTCAGGTTTTAAGCGATTATTTCATAAACTATTATGAACCTTTTTGGACTCCATTCAACCTAAATTTGATGCCAATCAACGTAAACTTAAAAGTAACCTCCTCCATTTGCAGTTTGTTCAACATTGAACCAATGTTTAGTGACAAAAGATTTGGAAAAAACTCTACATTATAGACAGCTTTTTCTGATGCTGTGGATCATATATGTCAATGATGATATGCATTACCACAGCTCTTCAAGGTCTAGTTTCCTATGATTTCCCACTCCTATTATTTCGATGTGCTGATGATGCTATTCCAAATCTCATCATCTTTGTGAAGTACTCTTTTGTTTAATGTCCTTTACAAATACCTAAAAACTTGATCTAATGAATGATTAATGCTTTGATCAGATAGGTGATCTTGTGGAAGCATCAAAGAGATTTGCCACTTTAGAAAATGTGCTTGATCTAGATGTTGCTAATGGCACAGTGAAAAAACCAGGAAGCCATTCGCGTATTTGCGTCGTGTTAGACAGGGTCTTGACCTCATCCGAGCTTTATTTGAAGAATTTTTGTCATCTGAGTATGTTAGATTTCTTTCCTTTTTGCATCTTTAAATATATTTTTCCTTTTTTAATGCAATTTAATTCCAATGATTGAAAAGGACTGTTGTGCTTTCTCTCAGCTCTTAATTTAAAGAGAAAATTTCAGTATTTGGGCATTGTGCAATACGTTGTGGCATGTTTTCCTGACTCAATCATTTGCTTGAAAAGGCAAAATGCCAAAACAGGTCAAAACAGAGGCTATTCTTGATATCAATGACTTTTTTTTTTCATTTTATTTTTTTAATTGGAATTCTATTCCTGCACCTGCATGATCTTCAAGAAGAAACTACATTACATTTTGATCTATGACTGCCTTTTTCATATAAAACACATTGAAACGTAGAAGATCCATTTAAATTCATCATGCATGACAATTGCTTCCTATATGGTAGTCTCACTTGCTTATACTTTTGGGAAGTGGGGTTAGTTGGAAAAAGTTGAAATGATTTGTTTTCCTCTATTTCCTTCATACAAGGATGATGGATTTTATTGGAATCCATTTTCATGTCATCTCATGCTTCAATGCACTTTTTATTATTATTATTTTAATTCTAGGGATATGCTCAAGTATGTGCACCATACCACACATGGGCTGTCAGGGCTGCTGTTTCTGCTGGAATGTATTCTCTTCCAACAAGGGAACAACTTTTTCTGAAGCTCAATGAAACAGGTGAGTTTGAATCAAATTTCCATCTCCAACCGCCAACATTTGTCAGGATGTTGTTTTGTGGATAAATCTTTTACTGAAATTCTGCAACTTACAAGAAACAATATATTTCAGGCCTTACAACGTTTGTCTTGAACCTTGATCAATGTCTGCTCATCTTGTCTGATTCAGGAGAGAGCAAGATAGTATATGCATGCTTAATATGTTCCGCAAATTGAAGTTTCTATAAATCTCAAATATAGACCTGGACTTCACTTAATGCACTTTCCCTATATCACACCTTTTAAATCTTTCAGAAAGTGTCTTGTTGAATAGCTTTGATCGTCACATTGTTTCTTTCTGTATGAGAAAAGCTGAAATTCAGCTGACATAATCTTTCCGTACGTCTTATCAACATTGTTGCAGATCATACAGCAGAGAAGAAAATGAGTAGGTATATCAAAGCTTCACGCCAGTAATATATTACATTGATAAGCTTTATATTTCTAGGAATATCACCTTGGACTGATGACTTATATCAAATGGGGAATATCAGAGAAAGGTACAGATCTTTCATCCAAGCAGCAACAAAATCCTTTATGCGTCTCATTGTTCCAGCTAGTAGTCACTTCCCAACGTTTAACCTATATGGAAGCATCTTACATCTCACAGCAACAGTCTATGACACAATCCTTGGTTTCAATGTTCATTCTGCTTTTTCTATCGAAGTAGTCACATTATATCAGTTTCGTTGCTATTGCTGTCGAGTATTCTTGTGATCAACAGCAAAAGTTTTAATCAATATTGTTTATTCAGATAAGAAAAAGCTCAGATTGTTTGTAGAATGAAGATAAACAACCCTCTCCAATGCTAATGTGTTATCTTCATGAAAGAAGCCTTTCGTTTATTTTCACATAAACAGCTCACAGGAAGCAAGAAAATCTACACAACTACTTTAGCTTTAAACGAGTTGCTAATGTGTTCACTTCGAATCCTTTCTTGGTTTAAATTCCTATTCCTTGTCCTCATACAAAATGATACAAGATCTAACTTCCAATGGGATCAATCCTTCTCAGCATTTCGGCAAATAATGATTAGACAGCCTGCAAGCTAGTAAATGCCTATGATTTAAGGTAGCTAATCATATTTCATGGCATGTATATTTTGATGCCTCTGCAAACATGTCGATATTCCAAAGTTGCTCAGTTTCTTATACCTCGACATCAATACCTGCGAATCTACGATGTTGAAGAGAAAAAAAACAACTGAGTGCCAGCTTAATACGTTCAACACCTAATCTAGTAAAACTGGAAAACAAAGTTTGAAACCACAATTCTTAACAAGACAATTTGCGTTTAATTCTGTCAAAAACTTCCCGTTGTTATTCCTTTCCATCCATATCTAATTCGACTACATCTGAGATGGCACCTGAAACCCTTAAAAAATAATAAAAATGCAATACATTACAACGGACTGCTACAAGAAAACAGGCTCCTCAGCTGTTGGGCATTTTGTTTAAATAGACAGACAAAAATCTTGCTTTGCCACCAAATAAAGACTCAGTGTGACTTCATTGCATAAACCCGAGCATCATCTACAAAGTCAGGCTTTCAGGGTTCTCAACAATCTTTGAGAAGGTCCGAAGGAAGGCAGCCAAATCAGCACCATAGATAATGCGGTGATCAGCAGTTACATTCACCTGAAATAGAGGAATCACATTCCAACTCAGTTTAAGTTGCTCTTTAGAAATAGTCGGCCATGACGAAAAGTTCAGTTTATCTCCTGTCCAAAGAAAGGACTCCTATATTAAACTATTAAATATGAAAAGCACGCAATATTCACCAGTATGTGGAAGAAACCTAGTGTAACAATTAAACTAGTTATTTCTTATTAATATTTTTCAAAACTTCATTAAAACATTTTTAGCACAATCTTTCAACATTAATATGATCATGGTGACAAAGATTGGTTCATCTCTAACAAAGAAGAGCTCTAACCACTCTCATGTAATATACAATAAATTTGGACAAATATAACTTATTTAATGCCAGCAAAAATATTAGAGCTCATTCAGCTGTGGAAAAATATTTATTCCATATATGATCAATAAAATAAAGTAACTAATTAAATTTGGAAACTCCTGTTTTCCAATTTGATAGAAAACTTGGACAAGTATTTCAAATTGTTTTCAATTTTTTTAGCTAAGTTTGGAAACCCATGTTTCCAATTGGTGTTTTACCTTATTCTTATTGAATTATTGATTCAATAATTTTCACAAATGGAGAAATTTTTCCAAAATTGAATGGGCCCTAATCATGCTTTCAAGAGGGAAAATCCAAGAATACATGAATTCAATCTCCTTGTGTTGTCAAGATAAGAAAAGTCTGAAAAGAGATTGATGGTTGACTGCAATGAAAATTCATAAATAAAAGACCTCCAAATACCCCCTTGCGAAGATGTGACTTGATAGATATACGCATGTCAAGAGAATGAGAGCAGGACTGAAGCGGGCATGGATGGAAACTACAAACGAAGACCTCAAGGTATTAAGCTTACTAAGGATATTGTCTAGAATTAGGCACAGTGGCACAAATGGAGAAAATTTTCCAAAATTGAATGGGCCCTAATCATGCTTTCAAGAGGGAAAATCCAAGAATACATGAATTCAATCTCCTTGTGTTGTCAAGATAAGAAAAGTCTGAAAAGAGATTGATGGTTGACTGCAATGAAAATTCATAAATAAAAGACCTCCAAATACCCCCTTGCGAAGATGTGACTTGATAGATATACGCATGTCAAGAGAATGAGAGCAGGACTGAAGCGGGCATGGATCGAAACTACAAACGAAGACCTCAAGGTATTAAGCTTACTAAGGATATTGTCTAGAATTAGGCACAGTGGCACATTATAATCCAATATGGCTAAACCTTACTTAATGGGTTAAGGCTTAGTTTGTTGTTGTACCTCTAACTGATCCTATACTTTATGTCCAATATTGCACAATGTCTTGGCAAAGATCTCAGTCACTTGGGAAGTTTACCTAGCCATTCAGTCAGCAAGCATAGAAGCAGCAATTTGGGCCAACAGAAGCTAATCAAGGTAGGTTCCTTCCGAGAATCAGCAACCAAGGCACTATGTATACTTACTAACTGAGAGTCCATATGATCTTTAGGAAAAGCAAACATATATCACAATATCCTACTTTCACATGCTGACACTTGAACTGAGAGATGAAAGGGTAGTAAATCAGATTGGATATCCCAGTAATCCTACCAGTCGTGAGAGCCATAGTTGGAGGAATCTTTTCCTCCTACCAATAATTTCCTTTAAAGGGTTATAACCTATGAAGAGTAATAACAGGAGAACTCCTTAAAACAGTATGACAGTTACTCCGGACAATTAGAGTATTAGTACCTAAAACGTACTTTTTCTAAGATGGCCTCAGATCCTTACATTTGTTTCACTGTTATATTACATTGATTAAAATTAGAATGTAATATACAATTCCTGCCACAACACCGTAACTTGAAAGCATTAACACTAAATAATAGTATTTCTCCACAATAGATGTGATATCATTTATCCTATTTAATGTATTTTCCCTAAAGTTCAAAAGAAAATTTTATCCAAAAGGGACTGTAATTGACAATGAAATAAAAACTGGACTCACCAGCATTTTGTTTTTCACACTGAAGAATCCATCAGCATCAGCAACAACAGTTGGCTTTGATGCTCCAACAGCCATGATAGCTCCCTGATCATCATTCCAAAAAATAATTAACAAAATGTAGAGAAATATAATCAAACGGTAGAAATTGAAAGTCCATCCATAACCACTCACCTGGCCTGGGGGAAGAATGGCATCAAACCTGTCCACACCGAACATGCCCAGATTGGACAGAGTAAATGTCCCTGCAAGCAATTCAATTATGATTTATGCTTATATACACTAGAAGCCAGATCTCAATCACCTACTCAGAGAAGAACCAGAGGTGAAACCATTAAGCAGTACAAACCTGTACTATATTCTTGAGGCTGAAGCTGCTTTGATCTGGCTTTCTCCACCAGCTCTTTCCATTTTTGAGACAATAGATACAAATCCAACTGTTCCAAAACAATTCCAGTCAGTCAAGCTCTTACAAGCTATACAAAACTGATAGAAAAACCTTATATAACTATAATGTATCAGTTCACTAAAAACATGTAATTCATATGCTAGATTCCGATGATTAAAGATCAATACATAAAATCACTAACCTTATCTGCATCCTGAAGAACTGGGGTAATCAAGCCACCATTGATAGCAACAGCTACCGCAATGTTAATGTTACTATTATAAGTAAAACTCTTGCCATCTTTACAGCTTGCATTCACAACAGGGTGCTGCACCAGTGCCATTGCAGTAGCTTTCGCTAACAGAGCAGTCATTGTCACACCCTTTGGTTTCACCTATAAACAAATATACCAAACTGATGTATTAAAACCAATTTGACAATCAAAACACAAATAAACCAATTTATCAAATCGAATAATCCAACTCAATATACCTTCTCATACAAGGCATCAAGCGCATCCGTAGTCACAGGATACCCCACTCGAAATGTGGGCACTGAAAGACTCTCCACCATATTCTTCGAAACGGCAGCCTGCATTGTCGTAAATGGCACTACTGTAGAACCTGGAACTGGAGGAGGAAGGCTAGAAGGGGCAGCAGCAGCAGCTGTAGCTTTCAGTGGAGCAGCAGGCTTAGCTTCCGCAACCACCGCAGGTCCAACATTTGTCTTGGAAGGCGAAATACCGGCGGCCGCCTCAATGTCCTCGGGCGTGATCCTCCCAAACGGCCCTGTTCCCACCACGGACTCAATATCCACCTTGTGCTGCTTCGCTAACTTCTTTGCATATGGTGTCGCAACGGTTTTCCTCGGCCCCTCCGCAACTGGCGCAGCCGCTGGAGCTGGCGTTGGCTTCGGGGGAGCTGGAGCTGGAGAAGGAGTAGCAGGAGGAGCAGATGGGGTTGCAGCACCCGTTTTTGAGGCAGCTTTGGCTTTAGCCTCGGCAACTTCATCTTCAGTCTCAGCGAGGATGCCAATGGCGGCACCGACAGGGGCAGTTTCGCCTTCCCCAACAACGATAGCAGCGAGAATGCCGTCATAGAAAGTCTCGACGTCCATGTCAGCTTTGTCGGATTCAACAACGACGACGCTTTCACCTTTGGAGAGAACATCGCCTTCGGATTTAATCCAAGACACGATCTTGCCCTCGGTCATGGTGGAACTGAGGGCGGGCATGAAGATCTCCCTGATCTTCGATCGGACAGTCAAGATTCGTCTTGGGGTTGACTTGAAACGAATTGGAGAGGAAGAAATAGATGGCACAAGACGAGGAAGAGAAGAAGAAGAGAGGGAAGAGGAGAAAGATATGGTGGTGTTGGAGAGAAAAGGAGAAGCCATTTTTCCCTTTCTTTTCTTGCTTTGGAGAGAGGATTTGGAGAGAAAGAAGAAGGAAATGATTTAGGAGCGAATGGAGAAGAAAGGAGTGGAGGGAAAATAATAGAGTGGGGAAGGGAGCGGCGGAGAAGACGAGGAGAAGTTAGTTGGACTCTATGAACTACCCAACTGTGTTTGCATCGCCCATTGCTAGACTTCCTTAACTGGATTTTGTTGTTTTCATTTTCACACTTTGAGCTATCAAGTTTTTGCTTCTTTTCAATTGCACGCCCTTGTTTTCCAAGAGCTAATTTAATATTGCACTCAAAAATTGTAATGTAATTAAAATTTGTGGTTTGAAAATTATGGTTGCATATATTAAAAGAATTTCCTTTTAAAGTTCTAAATGGTCCAATCTGATTCGGATCAATACTCCAATTAACAAAAGAGTAATTAAAAGAAATATATAAAACCATTTGTCACGCTTGCTTAAAAAAAATAAAAATTGGTAAAAAAAAAGTGCTGTGTCTAAAAGTTAAATAAGAAGAAGAAGAAGGACTGAAAGAGCAAAAAGTTATTGCCAATAAAAAAAAAGAGCATAAAGTACTTGGGCCAACAACTTTCAGTCCAAACCAAGCATAGTAACAACATTTTTCTTAGCAATTTTAAGTACAAGGCAACCATTAAGGCCTTGGGCTTACAACATTTGCCATTGTACGCTTAAACCCATTTTTTGATCTGCATTTTCATACCTTAGGAGTCAGGCCATAAAATAAGATTTGGCTTGGATAGTAATAAAATTGGACTAGCAGCATTGTTCTTGAGATATGCTATGGGCTTATCAAACATATAAATATTTTTTTTATTTTTAATCTATTTTTAAATTTTTTATTTATATATTTATCCGATTAAATAAGATATTATGAATATAAATTCCTTTAAACAGTAACTATCAAAACTTATCTTCAATATCATATTAATTAATTAATTTCAAGATCAATGGACATAAATATTCACTTTTTAATTTTTCAAATAAATTTTTAAATTTTGAAAATAAAATATTTTAGCATGTTACATTATTTCTTTTATAAAATAATATTATGTTTAAATATTATATTGATAAAGAATGTGATAACCTTCTACTCCATTGTTGGAGTTATATATATTTTGATAATAAAATTAAAAGTATTTTTATACTTTGTTTTTAAAATTAATTTTAAAATGCATTCTTTATTATTTTAATACATTTGTGATATATAAAATTTAGAATTATTGAATATTATTTTTTTAAAAAAATTACATAAATTAATTAAATTAAATCATAAGTAAAAAAATATATATCTTCCTTTTGAACAAGGCAGCCGATCAGACTTTGTTTCAAACGTCCCACCCTGAGAAGATAAGTCCCAAATTTGTGATGCCGGCTCAGCTGTCACTAAATTGGGAGCGATGCCCGATGGCTACGCCATCTCCTTTTGCCTTTATTCGGTGAATCGCCTCTCTATTTAATTTAATAATAAATTTAGCTAATAAATAAATAATCTTTTGATATTTCAAGAGGTATTATAACAGTATTATTGAAGCTACGCGTCCATGATGCTGATGCAGCGTGTCGATCAGATGATTTGCCGCGTCAGACGAACTCTGGCCTAGGAAGCAGTACCTGGTCGTATTCAATTTTTTCTCTTTTCCATTGTGGCTGCTTTTAGAAAAATGGAAACAAAAGAAAGAAAGAACCAAGTCAAAAAAATCAGCATGCCGGCCGTGATGGGACTTGTCCCCTATTTTTAAAATAATTTTTTCTCGTACAATTATCAAAAGCCAAAAGGTGCGATAATATTACGGCGACAAGCCGTTATCAATAGTGAATGTCGCCGTTACCACTCTCCAAGTTGGATGATTCATCCGTCCAGTTTTCATTTTTACTGGACATTTTCCCCAACGATTGAAATTCATTCTTCCTATCTAATTTAATTAATTAAAATTATTTTTTTTGATAAAAATTTTTTAAATTCGAATTCTGTGATAATTATTTATTAAAATTATTTTTTTTATCTTATATTAATTTAAAGAATTGAATAATTTATTTACTTTTAAATTATTTTTTAAAAAAAATTCATTCATCTTCATTATTAGTGGTGAGAAAAAAATTAAAAATTTATTTGTAATTATAGTATTTAGTTTAATTTGATTAGGTTTTTTATTTGATTTAAATTAATTTTAAATATCAAATACATATTAAAATTGGATAAGATGAAAGTTAAAAGTAAAAAAAAAAAAATTGAATTGAATTAAATTATATATTTTTATTAATTTTTATATATTTAAATTTTTTAAAATAAAATAATTATTTATATATAAATCTATTTAAATATATCAAAAATTATATTAAATTTATATAAAAATAAAAAAATAAATTAAAAAAATCATTAATCAAACATAATCAATAAAATTCAAATCGATTTAGATTGTTAAAAATTTAATTTAAATTTAAATTATATTTTAAATTTTAAAATTTTATATATTATTTAAAAAATTTGATTCAATTCGAATCATACATAATCACTACATCACCATATCAATTTAATTCAATTATAATTTTTTTTAATTATATTAGTATTAATTATATTGGATAATAGTAAATTAATTCGACAAATAAGAGTAATTGGACCCACCACCAATATAAATAATAATATTATTAAATTCTCAAAGGGCCAACTTATTTGCCCTCATGCTGTTTATGCCTTTTAATTCTGCTTTGCATGAGGCCTACCCCTCGACGTGCATTTCACTAACACCTCCACACATATAACAATAGTAGATTATGCTATATATATATTTTGTTTTAAATTGTTAAAAATTAATTTTAATTATTAAATTACACAATTGTTGTCCCAATATTTCATGCTATATAAAAAGGGAGTAAATAAGGGTAAAACTTTTATAATTCATAATGATAGAATTATCTTTTATATTCAAAATTTATTATGTTTTGAACTTTGAAATGTAGCAACCTCAAACTTTTAAAACATTAATCTATGCATCTATTTGAATTATTTGTGTGCTATACAATTTTGAACTCTTTATCAATTTTGTTTTTAATATAACTAATCATTTGGTTTTAGAAATATAAATAGTGATAATGCGAATATAAAAATAATTAATTAAGACATTGTAACAGTTAGAAATTGAGACATGTTCCTTGAAAGTTTTAGGTTTGGATATTGAGGGTGAGATATTGGAATTTGAATTTTCATAGTCACCTATGAAAATTTTGTTTTGTTAGAAGGTTAACACATGTTTTATTTGATTATATTTATTTATGAAAAATAAATATTAAATAAACATATGACAATAATTTAATTTCGCTTGTGATATTTGTAAATTTTATGATCAAATATATTCATTAAAAATATTTGTATATACATAAAATTTATTTAATATATTATTAGTAAATAAAATTATTAATAAGTAAATATCAATATATAAAAAATAAATAATTTAAAAAATTTTATTTTTTAATGAGTGAATCGGATTAATAGAATGATATAATATAATTCACTTAATTAATAAGATAATATTATTTGATTAATTAAAAATATATAAAATTTATATATTAATAATATATTAAATTTAAGCTCATGTACACTTAATCGTGATGAAAAAGATAATTAAGAAAAGCCAAATATTTTACCTAAAGTTAATGATAAATAACTTCCTTGAATTTGGAAAATTTTTAATTAAATATTTTAATTTGATATAATTTATTTATTTATTTTTTTCAAATATTGAGTAAGAATGTGAGGAGAAATAGCAAGGAAAAAAGTTTTATATTAAAATTTACATAATATATTAATAATTAATAATTAAAAATAGAAAATACATCAAATCTGACAGCTGGCAATCAAGCTGAGCGAGTCTAACTTTTATAGACCGCCAATTACGGGCTCCACTTCTCTTCTTTTCTTTCCTCAACTTGTGTTTTGTCCTGTTCTTCAAGCCCTCCAATACGACACGTGACGGATTAATGCAAAAAAAAAAAAAGGCAAGTAAATCCAAAATCTTATCAAGGGTATTTTAGTAATCCAAATTTCCCCTTCATCGGCAATGAAATTTCCTATTGATTTCCTTGGTGTCATCCTCGTGTACGCAATCGTGACCGTTGATTCCCAATCTGCAAAACCTCCCACGTATAAATTTTCAATTTCCCTCCCGCGGACACAAAATTTTCAGACGAATTTTGGAACTATCTTTTCTTTCTAAAATTCTCAACTTCCCACGAAACTTCTTTTTTTTTTGCTCTTGGAATTGAAGATGGAGGGAGTGTCGGTGGCGGCTTATCCATCGTGGAGCGCGGCAGCGTATGTGAGCTGGGTGGAGGTGAATGTTTCAAGCGATAAAGGCAGGAGAGAGGTTCATTATTATTTGAAGAGAAGAGATGGGGTTTCGGATCTGGCTGTGATTGGGAAAGAGAAAAGCTTGAGGCACATGTCTTATCATTTCGCTATTAAAAACCGCTCCCTTTTCTTCTCTTCGACGTCGTTTTACAAGCTCAAGTCTCGCAGGGAGGTCGTCTATTGGCTCAATTCTGTCGTTTCAGGTAATAACTTAAAAGTATTATTCACCTTCTCTTCCTATATTGAGTTTTGAGGTTTTGGAGATTTAGGGGTTTATTAGGGATTGTGTTGGGCTCAATTTTCTTAGGGTTTTGTTAGATCTGAGTGTTTGTGGTGAATATTGATAGGATTTGATTTTATTAGCGTTTCCTCTCTCTCTCTCTCTCTCTCTCTCTCAAACAATCGGTTTCCTTTTATAAGATTTTGAACTCCTTTTCTTTATTTACTATTCGTTTTCAATTTTTATTTTTATTTGATTTATAATTTTGCTATACAGGCCGATAATATTATCAAGCTTCTGTGTTTTTTTTTTTTCTTTTGCCAGATTTTTTAAAAGTTTTATTTCTCATTTTCTTTTTCAAGTCTGGGAGTTTTTTTTTTTTTACCCCAAGAAATTAAGGTGCCGGCTTGAGATTTTTCATTGGTTTTTCTTTTATATATATATATATATATTTATTTATGAACTGGAAGATGTGTAAATTTTCTCTTTTAAAACCATCCCTTTATCTTGATTCATTATATTAACTTTTAAACCTATGATTTTTTTTTTTTTTTTGGTCTCAAGTAACCTTGGGCTTTGTTCTTTGCTCCCTTTGTGTTTGTTTTGGCTGGGGGGTATTTGTTTCTGTGATTGGAGTGGGTTGTTCCCTTTGGTTCCAGTCACCAAGGTAAATGTTAACGGACTATAATCTGGGTTGCAGGATTGCTAATTCAAATTTTAAGAGCCGATTGAGAGCGTCACGATTTTTACACCCTCAAATATCTAGGTCAACATCTTTCATATCCTAACATATTAGGTTTCAATAAACAAAGTTTCATCTCCACATAAACATTTTTCAATAAGCTGTTAATTCCTATTGAAAGGTTAAAAAGAATCCTATTAAGACATATATAAGCTCTTATTATTGTGTTTATCTGGTTTTTATTTTGTCCTTTCTCAAGTATCAGTGTCCTTGTCATCTTGTTTTTGTTTAATTATTTATCTTCTCTTTTGCGGCGTCTTAATAGAATGAAATATTTGTGCATTTGTTTTGCTAATTGCGGTTTAAAACGTACAGATTCCTCTTCCCGTGAGCCTTACTGTTCACTTAATGGCTTTTGGAATGGAAAAGATGTGAAAAATATGGATTTTGGAGTGAAGGTATGATTGGTTTTGTTACTATGTGGTTTTCTTTCTTCAATTAAAAATTCTTGTAACAATATTTGAATTTTTTTCCCTTCTACAGGATCTTCAATCACGGAAGCTGGGCCGGTACACTAAAGAATTTTTATGGTTAGGTTCTCCATGGACATGCAGGAAAAAAAGGAAACACTATCAGTCCTTGTGGAGGAACGGTGTAAAAATTTCGGTGAGTGTAATTATCTTTATCAATCCCCCCCTTCCATTTGTGCTTTGTCATTTAAAGTTTTGTGCGGCTTATGGCTTCATTATCTAACTCATTTTTTTTTGGCCTTTTTTGTCCCATTCTCATAAAATATTCTCAGATTCACGACTTTGTTTATGTCTTAGCTGAGGAGGATAAACGACTTGTTGCCTATTTGGAAGATTTGTACGAGGACTCTAGAGGCAACAAGATGGTTGTGGTACGATGGTTTCACAAAATTGACGAGGTTGGTATTGTTTTGCCTCGCAATTATAATTGCAGGGAGATTTTCTTTTCTCTTTGTCTTCAAGATCTCAGTATTGAATGCATAGATGGATTGGCCACTGTCCTTAGTCCAGTGCATTTCAAGAAATTTTTGAACGAGGCAACACATACTCGGCTGGAGCCATATGTATGCTGCAAGCAGTTTGAAAATGATGATGTAAAGCCTTTTGATGTGACTCTAGTTAAGGGTTATTGGAAACAAGATATACTTAGATATATGTATGGTCTTTCTCCTTCAAATGATTGTGTGAGTGGTCAGCAACGTTCTGATGACCAGAAAAGAGAATGGGATGTTGACGATGGTGTTGGGATCAGGCCTAGAAAGAGATATTGTCAGTCAAAAGGTGATGATGTGTACATGCATTACAGTGGCAGTAGAGAGTCAATGGATGCATCATGTGCAGATGTGCTAGATTTTCAGAACAGTAAAAATGGAACTGAATCATTCAGTTTCAGTGGGGGGAGTTCTGCATTCCTGTCCACTGATGAGGCTAAGCAATATTCTTCTCAGCATTTAAAATCAGGTTCCCAGGTTGAAGTACTAGCTCAAGATAGTGGTATGAGAGGTTGCTGGTTTAGAGCTCAGATAATCAAGAAGCACAAAGATAAGGTGAAGGTGCAATACCAAGACATTCAGGATGCAGCTGATGAAGCTAACAAACTAGAGGTATATATATATATATATATATATTGTTTTTAATTTATGGAACTGAAAGGATGTATAAATAATGAAAACTAATATTATTGACCCTTCCTTCCGAAGTTGCTAAATGTTTCATGGTTTTATGTTATAGGAATGGATTTTGGCATCTAGGGTTGCTGTTCCTGATCAAGTTGGTATCCGTATTTGTGGACGGACAACTATTCGACCATCTTCACAATACCGTAAAGGCAGTGCTTCAAGTATTGTTGTTGGGTCCGTTGTTGATGTCTGGTGGCATGATGGGTGGTGGGAAGGCATTGTTGTTGAGAAGGATTCAGAAGATAAATTTCATGTTTATTTTCCAGGTTTATAAATAATTTAAATCTGAATATGAATGATTTTTTCGTGATCATGAACTGTCAAGATTGTTTTTTGGTTTTTTTTTTTTTTTTTCAACTCTTGACATATTATATTATATGCAGGAGAAAAGCTGGAATCAGTCTTTGACAGTGGTGATGTAAGACAATCTCAGGAATGGCTGGGAAATCGGTGGATAAATATAAAGGAAAGGCATGATCTTGTGAGTTCCATACTCTGTGGCAGAAAGCAAGATGCTGGCAAATCCTCTGATTGCAATTTGGACAAAATCACCATTTGTGACGGGGAACAGTTTGGCAAGGATGGCACTGATTGTAATGATTCTCCTGTTGAACCAGGAAATGAAAGGGCAAAAGATGTGGGTTGTATTCCGGATCTTTCAAAGGATGATTTGCTTTCCCGGTTGAAGTGGAAGTCATCGAGGAAGAGAAAACGTGTGACTGCGACCTGTATACAGAAGCTGAATTGCAGTCGAAATCCCATCAAATGCACTGCAGGGTCTGTTAATTGCGAAAGATTTTTGATCCCTGCATCCTTAAAAGTTGATAATGATAACTGCAAGTACATAGGTGATCCATTATTTAGTTCCTCAGTAGTGCCGCCTCTAACAAGCCTGGTTATGACTAGGTGATTGACTATTCTCATTGGATATGTGGAGATTTTGCTTTCTGTTTTGCAATTTAGGTCACAATTTTGGATGCAGTATAATAACTTCTAACTAAGTTAGCCTGATTTGTTTAGGATGTTTGCCGGAGGATTTCTGCTTTTATGTAACATGTATATCATTTCTGGTAATAAAAATTTACATTTTTCTTAGATTCATATTTCAACTGCGAGCTCAATGCCTTACTCTGAAGTTGCTAATAGCATTGCATCGACGCTGGACAGTATGCATGTATTGTTTTGGCTGCTTTGGTTCCCTTTGCAGTTTGGTTGGTTGGAATTTTGTCCAGTCTTAGCTTCCAATTCCACAACTGGACAAACTTGGTTTCCAGTCCCCTGTTTAGTACGGAGAGTATCGCTATTCGCTCTTTGGACGGATAATGGCGGTGGTTCCCACTTCTGCAGGGAGGATCCCCAAACGGCATCGTTTGAGTTGCCATGGTGCGTCCAGTGCTTAATACATGTAATTATCACTTTCCATTGATGGGGGCCAATATATTTGTTGATTAGAAACTAAAAGATTACGCTTTTTAAAAAGGACCATTACTTTAATTATTACTGCATTTCCCTGACATAATCCAGAAATTGGGCAATTACGACCAGAATGTATTACAATGGGAAACTGCTGATAGGGAACTTGGAAGACAGAACCAGCCATTGTTTCTGACTTAGGTCCCGTTTTTACCTAGAAACTAGGGATCGTTTTTTCTCTTTTAATTTGCTAAAAATGAAAACTAAGTGGATCACTGTTTTGCTGTTCTTTAAAGTTAAAAATTAGCTTTGGTAACGAAGTTAAAAGCTGTAAATGGCGTCGTCCTAGGTTCAGTTGTTTTTGGCGAATCAAGTTGCTATATTTTACGGAATTGGCAAATCTTTTTTACTTCATGATATCACCAGGCTTTTTTAGGATAAAGGAGTTTGGGCTTTTTTACTCCTAAAATTTTGAGGAGTCTCTGTCTTATTCTAAAGCAAATCTCCAAGTGGTTTCGTTTTGGGGGTCTTACCTAATCTAACTATGACATGATGGATTAAATGAACTAAAAGTAGGATATGGATATGAGTTTGGCCTCATAAGCAACCTCTTTAAACAATTATTATATGGCTGAGAAAATTTCAGGAAAAGTAGGATGTGGGGCACCCTGTACTAGTGAGGCATCTTTTTCCACTAAGCATAAAAGGAGACCTTTCTCACTTTCCTGTTACCATCTAAAGACCCTTTCTTCACCCTCCAAACTGAAGCATCTCAAAAGATGGGCTTGTTCTATCAGTAGTTCGGTTACAACAGTAGGCTGCAGGTGCTGTTCCTAGATCCTTTTCCTCTAGTTTTTAGCCTCTTCCTCGCCTTTTCAGATTGAACCCTGGTGACCTTCTTTGTACGAAGACGTTTCACTTTCAGTGTTTACATAACGGATAAAGAAGCTATGGTTCTTCCTGGTCTGGCTAAGAAGGAGGTCAGGAGAGTTGAATTCAACAAGCCAAAGAGCTTGTTGCTTCCTGGAACTAGCCTTGCCTCTGTTGAATCCTTATCGATGCCTCTTGTTTGTACTCTCTTCCGTCTTTGTGTATTCTCATTTTGTTGCCTGTTGAGTGTAGTTCCTAACAGATTTTGGTCTACTATTTTCAATTTGCTGAGAGCAGGTCCACGAAGTTGTTCTCGCTGCAGATATTCGATGCGCAGGGTGTCAAAGGAGAATAGCTGACATAATGTCAAGAATGAGTGGTACTCTTTCTTCATTATTTAATTGTGGCTAAGATTATTATCAGCTTCATCAAATGATCTTGGTTGTACTTTCTTTAACAACCCACTTGCAGTTTATGAATTGGTCTTCTCTTCAGTGTTTTAACACATTTTCTACAGAAAACGAGTCTACAATGTCTGGAAATGGCTTCATCTTTATCCTACTGTTAACTTTGTAAAATGTCTTTCAAAATATGCTTGACACCTTTTTCCTGTCTTTTGCGGTAACGGTGGCTCTCTTGCTTTTACATTTATGGTAAAAAAGTTGCATGAAATTTAGCCAGAAATCAGGATTATGGTCTTAATCTGGAATTTGGAACTTAATGAATTGAATTCCTAATTTAATTGTTTCTTGGCAGAGACAGACTCTGTTTTGGTAAATGTGTTGGAGAAGAAGGTAACACTCACCTGTACTTACCCTGGTATCGTCAAGTTACCTTCAAGGCAAGTTCCTGTTATTTACAGGAATCCTGTAAGCACAATGGCCATGATCAAGAGGTTCTTTCGCTCTTCCCGAAGGTGAAATCCAATCAAGAAACATCCAATATGCTTCAGAAGTCTTCACATAAACATTTTTCTGTTGTAGCCTGAATGCCCTGTATATACTTTTTGTTGTACAAAGAAAATAATCAGTTTGGTCATGTCTCACCTGTATATAGAAAAACACACTGAATAGTTGGATGTGTTTAAAATGATCAGCCGATTTCTTGATCTTTGTTGTACTTTCTTTACTTTCATTGCTGAGTGAAAGTATTATATGTCTTGTCTTTCAGGCAAAACTAAAATCGGAAGTAACTGATGCTTAAATTTAATGCAAACAGAAACCTTTGTAAATAAGAAAAGGATACTTCATAATCATGTACAGGGTAACACAACATTTACATGAAGGGAGGCTTCTTTTAATTTCTTGATATTTAAGTCACGATGAATCAACCGAGAATCGGATTCCAAAATGAAACCAAGGAATTCCCATGAGAGAGCCAAAGGTGGAAATATTCTTGGTCCTTGATCCCTTGAATTCTCTAATTTCTACATATAATTTTCCAAAGCTTTTGAAAACCATCAAAACCAATTCCTATCATTGATCTCGATTCTTTTCAGTTCCCAACTCCATGTCAGGAAGGACAAGTTTAAGACAGCATCTTTATGAGCCATTCCTTCTTTTTCCCTGCTATTTTTAAAGCTAGCTATTAGCTAACACTAATGAAGCCAGCCTTTATCACACCTTGAAAAGCTTACATGAAAAGGAATTCTGAAGAATTATGATATATTGTTGCTGTTTTCAATCTTTTAACCATATGATTCTGAACATACAAATGAGTAGCATATCTCAAATTCCACATTTTGGGAATGAACTGACTAAGCAACTCGCTTTTTCCTTTTATTTATGGGCTGTTAGGGTGAAGGTGGTTGTGGTTTTTTTTCTTTATCTTTGATTAGTCTTTCACTTTTTGCCAATCAACACATATAAATCAACTTTTCCCCTAGTTTAGAAAGCAAAAAGAAAGATTCAGTGAATAATGCATTTTCAACTTTTCATAATGGCTTGTTTTAGCACATTGATGTAATAATCTTTTTTTAATTTTGAACAATGATTAATTGCAAATGGAAAAGTTCAATTTGGAGCATATAATTTCTTCTTTTCTGGTCAGGGGTACACTTGATGTGTGGGTATTTTCAACAACTTTAATGAGATTAAAATACTAAAAAATTCCATAAATTCTATTATTTTATTTAGATAAATTTTTATATTTTTTTTATACTTAAATAAACTTTTATTGTTTGATTTGTATCCAAAATAAACTTTTATTTCAAATAAAAATTGATTTATATTAAAAGTTTATTTAAGTGAAAATTAAAAGATAATAATTTATTTGAATATAAATTAAAATTTAAAAATTTATTTGCATGCTAAACAAAGTTAAAAACTTATTTGAATATAATAAAAGTTTAAAAATTTTTATTGGCCCACTAGTAATTCCCGAAAGTATCCGCACAACAATTGGGTGGGTTGGGCCTAATGTCAGTTAACAAAAACTATTATCTACCCATTGCTTGCCTCCCTTGCTCTAGCGCTGGAGCCCAGAGAATACATGCATAATATGTGTTTGAACAAATGTCTCAAAAGGAAGCCCACTCCTAAGAAGGGTTCTCCTTTGGGCCGGGAGAAGAGTTTGTGTGTTATTTTCTTTTAATATAATTATACCAAAGGCGGAAATTAGAAAAAGAAGGGAAAGGTGAAAAAAGTTTATATTTATTATCGGTTCCCGCATTGTGCTTCTGAAGCCTCGTTCCTAAACCACTAGTAAAGGAGCCGCCACACGCTTTACTACGCCTCGTGCGAAAGAGCTCAGGCAGCCCCAAATTCCTCTCTCAAAACCAGAAGCAGTCATTAAACACGAAAGGGAAATCGAATTTCATCAGTAAAACTCCCTTTCCCTTCGATCAAAAAAATTTTAAAACAGAAAATCATACATTAAAAAAACCCTAACCCTAACCCTAACGCTAACCATAAATTTTGTCCAATTAGCTTCCAATGGCTAGCGACACCCCGGATTCTCATCGAAGGAAGCACCGTCGTTCTCCATCCGACGACGAGGAAGCCGAGAAGTCGTCCAAACGCCACAAGCATCGCCACTATAAACACCGCCACCACCGCCACCCCAGCAAGAAGCACGAAGACGAAGCTAAAGATGGTGGCGATGATTCCCTTCCTCCTCCCTCGGTTCCTCGACCTGATGATGACGTCGAGGAAGGAGAGATTCTTGATGAGGAGCCGACCGCCGAAATCAAGGCTGTTGAATCTCTCGACGGCCTTGGTGTTCCGAATCCGGTGTGTTCTGTTTACCCTTGCTTGTTTTAATTCGTAACTGCTTTATCTTGTTGTGGTTAATATTATTGTATTTCCTTTTGCCGTTTGGTTACTGAGAAATTGGGTTAAAAATTGGGGTATTCTTTCATTTCAAGGAAAATAATTTTAAAATATTTTATCTTTTTTTTTTCACTTTACTCGGTTCTAAAATTCCTTATGCAAATTTTGAAATTTGAATGCTGAAGAGTACTTGAAAGAAGTGTTTTTTGCTTTCTGAGTTTGAAAATTTTGACCTTTTTCATTTGAACCCCTTTTTCTCGGTGACCTGACAGACCTTTTCTTGGACATTATGATGTGATTTATTTTATATTTTATGAAATTGGGATAATGAATCTATGGTTTGTGAGAACTTGTTAGATTACTGAGTGAGTATGCCTTGCATATGCAATACTACACAAAGAAAATGTGTGAATTGCAAAAAGAAGTATCCCTCCTAGGCGTTTCAATGGAGACTGATGCCTTACTATTTATTTGTAAGAGCTGGTTACAGTTGTTGCATATATACATTTATGCTTGTAATTACTGTTCTTTCATTTTTTAAAATGATGCATTGCGAGCTTGTGCACTCAGTGTTTCTGTTTGCATTTTCTTTTTTGTAGGGAGTTGGGGAAAATAGTAATTCTGTGGATGAGCAAGGAAGAAAGATTTGTGACAACAGTGATGAGAGGAACAAAAGTCATGGTGGGTTCTCTAGAAATTTAAGTGTTGAGTCTCAGGGAGAATTGGTCTCTAGAGTTGTCCTTGACTGTCATATCAATGGGGATTTTCCATCAAAACATCATGTAGAGGATGCTGGACAGTATCAGCAGTCTAGGTCGCCTTCAAGAAGTGGCAAGAAAAAAATTTACCCTGAGGATGTTGAAGAGGCTGATAAGAGGAAGTTAAGTGGCATGAGAAAGTTGTTGTCCTCTGAAAGTTCTGGGGAAAAGTACAAGGTATCAGCTAGCTCACCCTTTGATTTGAGATATTATGATTATACTAGGAGTAGATCTGAGTCACGTGGTCTTGCTAGGGAAAGATCACGTTCTAAAAGCATTGTAGATGAGGAAGCCCTTTTTAAAAGAAGTCACTGTCATGAACGTGATCCTAATAGGGATGAACGGCATGGTAGTAGAAACTTAGTTAGGGGTGATGACAGAAGCGTCAGTTATGGCAAATATGTTGCCGAAGAAAGGCATCAGAGTATGGAGACCCGGGGTAGCGAGAGGAGCAGGGAAAGTGATATAGATTGGGAAAGGAGAAGGGAGAAAGAGCATGAAAGAAGCAGAGAGAGGGAGATGGATGAATGGAGAAGGAATGGGGAGATTTATGGTGAGAGGAGAAGGGAGAAGGAGCAAGAGAGGAGTAGGGAAAGAAACATGGGTGGTGAAAGGAGAAGGGAGAAAGAGCGAGAGAGGACTAGGGAGAGAGAACTGGAAAGTAAAAGGAGAATAGAGAAGGAGCGAGGGAAGAACAGGGACTGTGATCTAGATGGTGAAAGGAGAAGGGAGAAGGTGCGTGATAGGAGCTGGGATGGGGAAGCAGATAGAGATAGGAAGAGGCAGAAGGAAAGAGATGGGAGCAAGGATCGTACCAGAGCTAATGACAGAGATAGAGAGAGGAAAAAGGGAAAAACTGAAGAATTGAACCAAGAGCGAGAGAGGGAGAGGAGAAGTGACAGGAGTAGGGATAAAGGTAGGAATATTGAGATTGAAAATGATGGTTATGGTGATCTAGATAGGTATAAGAATTATAAGCACTTGAAACGGGATGAAACAGAAACTTATCGGGACAGAAAAAGGAAAAATGAAACAGCAAAGGTTCATGGTTCTAACAGTGATTCATTTGAAGGAGATGGAGATAATCTAAAAAGGTATAAGTTGTCTGAGAAAGATGTTTCATGGTATTTTTGTTCACTTATTAACTTATGTTTTGTATATTTTGATTCATTCAGGGATGAAGAGGAGCAAGATGATTTTGAAGAAAGGATTGCATTAAAACTTCCTGATCACGAAGAGGAAGAACTCAATAGGATTAAAGAGGAAAGTAGGAAACGAAGGCAAGCTATCTTAGAGAAATATAAGAGTCAGCGGTTACAGCAGCAAACTCAGTCTCATGCAGTGGATGTGAATAAAGGTCTTCTTTATTATTTATTTATTTATTTTTTTATTTTTCTGACTTGTATTTTGGCTTTATTGAGCTTTCATCTACATGAATACTATGTTTATAGTTACAAATAGCTAATACTTTTTTTTTTTTAATGTAAACCAGATATTGGCTCTGTAGAGAATCATGGGCAAACAGTAGCTGCTGCTAATGCTGGTTCAGATGTTCTTGATGGTGGACATGAAGATGTCTATGTTGCTGAGCCATTATTGTCAGTTAGGAAGTTACCTTCAGAAAATGGGCATGCTGCTAATGAGAGGACACCTGGTGCTGCTGGGCTTGGTGAGGGTACCCCGAAGGTGTGTTGGTTTTCTTGTTCTGTTACATTTGAATCTTATATATTCTTAACTTACTATTTTTGCTGGAACCTGCATTCTTTCATAGAGGTATATAATTTCCATTATTTATTTGTGCAGAGTGAGAGATCAGATGATATTTTCTGTGACGATATATTTGGAGAAACGCCTACTGGAGTTCGTAAATTGGTATGTATCAGATTTGGCTATTTGCTTTGGTTAGTTGTGTCTCTATATTAATTATGAGTTGAATAAGGTGGTGTCTCAGGCTTGGATTGACCTAACTTTGTTATGATGCTGTTTGAGTAGTGGCTGCCGGTAATTGATTGTGACTATAGATATCTTCTCTTTTTTCCTTTTTAAGCATTCTGTTTTGTTGTGTATACCTGCAATAACTTAAGTTTCTAATTAGGGGGAAATGCTCTAATTTGTTCACTTTTTAGAAGCTTTTGTAACATCATTGACTTTGTGGATGAGTTAGCAATTCCTAAAATAGTGCTTCCTGTGCAAGATTAGTTTACTTGTTTTCTCCTAGCACATGTACTTTCCCATACATCATTTTAAGTCTGTTTATTATATATATATATATATGTATTTATGTTTATATATATATTATATTATATATTATATATTATATATTATGTATGTTTAAATTGAGAACTGGGACTATAGGGCTGACAGCATCTATGAATTGCATATTTGTAGGGTAAAGGTGATGGCTTGCCAGTTATAAGGAGTGGTCTTAATGACAATTGGGATGATGCAGAAGGATATTATAGTAAGTTTCTAGTTGTATTTATATATATACACACACAGAATGTCAAACCAAATTCTCTGGTATATTTTTGTACTCATGTAACTGCTGTTTTTTTCCTGTCCAGGCTATCGATTTGGTGAGCTACTTGACAGCCGATATGAAATAACTGCTGCTCATGGAAAAGGTGTTTTCTCAACTGTTGTACGTGCAAAGGATCTTAAGGCTGGTACTACTGATCCTGAAGAAGTGGCTATAAAGATCATTCGTAATAATGAAACAATGTGAGTGATCAAACTGCCTGCTCATTGATGCTTATGTTTTTTATTTTTTGTTATGTAGAGTTCTCTAACCTTTCTTTTCCTACTATGTGGTTGTATTAATACTGGTTTGATGCAGGCACAAGGCTGGTCAGCTGGAGGTTCAAATATTGAAAAAATTAGCAGGTGCTGATCCAGATGATAAACGCCATTGTGTTCGTTTTCTGTCAAGTTTCAAGTACAGAAATCATCTATGTTTAGTTTTTGAGTCACTTCATATGAATCTGCGTGAAGTTCTCAAGAAATTTGGTCGCAATATTGGTCTTAAACTTACTGCTGTCAGAGCATATGCTAAGCAACTTTTTATTGCGCTTAAGCATCTCAAAAACTGTGGTGTTCTTCATTGTGATATAAAGCCTGATAATATGCTGGTATGTCTTTTTTGCTTATTCTTGTTTTTGGTTTAGTTTTCAGTTGATTGCTCTCTTTGACTTATTGCTCTTTTCAGGTAAATGAGGCAAAAAATGTGCTGAAGCTTTGTGATTTTGGTAATGCCATGTTTGCTGGTAAAAATGAAATTACACCATACCTTGTAAGCCGCTTTTATCGTGCCCCAGAAATAAGTAAGTTGTAATATGAAGCTGTTAGTATCTAGGGTGGCTGGATTAATTTTTTTGTTGTTCTTTGATATCTGTACATGATTATATCTCTGGTACTAGTATTTGATGCATATTTCTGCATGGTGCAGTTCTTGGTTTGCCTTATGATCATCCAATGGATATTTGGTCTGTTGGTTGCTGTTTATATGAGCTATATACTGGAAAAGTTCTTTTCCCTGGTCCTACAAACAATGACATGCTACGCCTTCATATGGAACTAAAAGGCCCTTTTCCAAAGAAGATGCTTCGGAAGGTACATTATTAAATTGTGTGAGTCATTTTATTTTCTGAGAAATATTTTGGGCAATGGGCATTGTTATATTGTACTTTGGTTTAAATTTGCTATACAACATTCACTTGTATTATGTAATTTTCTTGGCTTGTGCTGATAGTTTTATTATTATTATTATTTTGTTTTTGTTTTCTTTTAGGGAGCATTTGCAGAACAACACTTTGATCAAGATCTGAATTTTCATGCTACAGAAGAGGATCCTGTTACTAAAAAGGTTTTTTTTCTCCTTTTAACTTTTTTGTCTTTTTTGAAATTTTTAACATTTATCAACGTCTTTTTTTGGTAATTAATATTTATCAATGTCTTCTTTTTCTTTTCGTAATTAACATTTATCAATGCCATTTTTAGTAACATAGATAGAAGTTGTCATGGTTGCCTTTTTGTTGACCATAAAATCTAATTCTGCCTTTCAGAGTATAAAGAGGATGATTCTTAACATAAAGCCAAAAGATATCAGTTCAATTATTGTTGGCTCTCCTGGTGAGGATCCCAAGATGGTAGTCAACTTCAAAGACCTTCTAGAAAAAATTTTTGTGTTGGATCCAGAGAAGAGAATGACAGTAACACAGGCATTGGCTCATCCATTCATCACGGGCAAGTGAAACATGTTGCTGATTTTATGACTCCAGAAATGTGTTGCGCTAGATATTGTACATTATGACCTAACTCATATTTAGATATCTAATCATTGGGAATTCTGTCTTTATCTTCTCTGTGCTGGACTAAAGCTTTGGAAACAGTGTTTGGCGTGGTTGAAGTCAAAAGGGTGATGTTTGGTCAAGAGTACTCTTTACTGGCGATTCTTTCAGTGGAATGTACTTTTTCTATTGTAAGACAACTAGCCAAAGGCGTTTTTATCTCTTGTAATCATTCTTGAATATGGTCATTGTGAAAATTTTCTTATTATTTTTTCACCTGTCGTACTTGTTGGAAAATAATGAGAATAACATATTCAGTTTATAGAACAAAATTTGTTCTTTAAACTAGGCAAGGTGACTCTCCCGTTTTCTTTTTTGCCTTTTTATTTTAGTTTCTACTGCTCTTTTAGTTGTTGGTTTGCTGGTTCCATTGTTGCTTTTCTTGTTATGTGCCAGTTGGTTTTCTTTTGCTATCTTATCAGAATTTTTTGGGCTTGGAAGTCTAATTTGGTTTTTCATTCAGGATATCTGCTACTGCTTTGAGGCAACCCTCCAGTGCTTAAATGCTTAAAAGGCACCCAGGAGAAGGTACCTTGGACCTTGGTTTGTTTATTGACCTGTTTTTGACACCCTAAAACCTGATCATCTTAATTTTTTTTTTGTTGTGAATTGCTAGAGATTGCCAATATTATTTTATATTTTGCTTTCAGCCAACTTTTTCTTTTAGATCTTATGTATGATTTAGTGGTGCTTTGGTAATACTTTTGTGTTGTAGCTGGTTATGCTCATTTAAGTAGCCTATGTTTGAGTGCTTTTTAAGTTTTTTTTTTTTAAATTCTTTTGACCTTTTCTAGCAATATGCATGTCCTAATGAAATTGCATTATATCTGATCCATGGTTCAATTACTCTGGAGGCACTTGCACTGGTCGTGTAGGAGTCAGCTTGAAGTGAAAGTCCATCTCAGTGAGTAATTGCTTTCCTAGTTCCTCTGAATTAATTGGCAATGTATCCTGTTGAAAACATAAATGTTTTAATGTGTCTTTTATTTTGTTTTTAGGGTATAAAATCTGTGCTTCCTAACTCGTGTAAGTATTTTTCAATATCATTATCTAAGCATTGTCTATTTTTTGTTTTTGAGAACTCTTCAGTGGCTTTCCTTTCTTAAATGTTTTGGAGCTTAAAATCTATCTTATCAAATCTGAAAGCCTGATCATCTCTCTGTAACTAGGGATTTTAACTTTGTACTTCCTCAATTTCCCTTGAATTTTCATGAATAGGCTCAAGTGAGTTTACTACTAACAGCTTCATGGTTGAAAAATCCTTCTACAAGACTTAGTTGATGTACCAAGAAAATTAGTGCAGCAAAGTGACCCAAAAAAGCTCCTCAACTTATTTTAGTCCTTGTAAAGTCGTATGCTTTACTCATTAGGCTTGAATAGTTGGAGAGCCTAGTTTTAGTGTTTTGTTCATAAAGGAATGATGAAATGTGTCCTTTAATTCTATAATCATGGTGCTGGTCTTGTAGTGTCTCGTTTTATGTGGTTTACCCTTTTAGGAACCTAGGAATCACTTTTCTACGGCCAACTATAGCCCTTTTACCATCTTTGCCTTGAAATATCACTTAAAATCCCAAAAAGCTGCTCTGTTAGCTGTTCAATTTTTTTTGAAGATTCTTGTTTAAAAAGGTATCACTACATTTAATTGGGCTGATTGTTATTTTCATTTGAAACCTTTTCTTGTCCTTTGTCTCTAAATCATTGTGATAAGAAAATAATTCACTTGTTAAAGAGTTTTTATTGTTGCCGTGAAAAATCTTGCCCAGAGAGTAATGGTGTACCTAGAAGTCTTAGTGCTTATGAATTTTACAAATGAAATCTATTTTCATAAATTATTTATGAGTTTTAAATACATAATCTTTTTCAATTTGTTGCTCTGTATTTGTTTGTTTTATTCCATTATTATCCTTAATTGTTTGAACATCAAACAATTATAGATTTCCCATATCTGGAAATTTAAGAAAATCATCCATTTCTTAGTTAGAAACTTCACTAACTTTTCTTTTTTCTTGATCAACTTTTTGTTGATCTGTTTTTATGGGAGTATATTTTTCTTGTCTGTTTCTTCAGATGAAGATGTTTTTGTATCTATAACAGTGGTTTCTTCTTTAACTACTAGCTAAAATATTATCTTGATTATTACTATTTGTATTGTTTCTATCCGTTGTGTCATAATTAAGCATATAATGATAATTTAATTTCTTTGAAAAGTTCTTTATGGGTTACATAAATCTTTTAATCATATTTAAATACTCAATTTTTTGTTTAGGAATAGTAGTTTTATCGATTTTAGAGTTAAAATGTTATATTAAATTTTTATAAGATTTAAAATCCATTTTTTCTTGTTTAGAAAATTGTAATGGATTTGATGATGATGTGTTATCGTATTTTCGTAATACAAAGGTCCAAATCATTGGTTTGACTTGTATTATTTATTTGTTGATTAAGATTATTTATTTTAGATTCTATTAAATCTATTTTAGTAAAAAAACATTTAAAGAAAGATGCTGATATATCTACTAAACCATTAATACTATGGTTGATTGTCGGAATATGAGATCCTAATTGAGTTTCAATATGCAAACTATGATTATGAAATTTTTCTGGACTAATACAATTTTTCACTTCTTGCTCCATGCTTTGGTATCTAAGACCATCTGTTTTTCATTCAAAGGTTTCAAAAAATTAGATAAAACGATAATAGGAACGCTAAAACTAGCATAGAAGCAGAAAAACAGATATGAGTTTTGAAACACAGTAATGAAATTAAAAATTAAAAAAATAAAGAAAAACTTACAATATAGAATGCAAAGAAAACTTCAATATGTATATCTGATATCAATTACAAAATAGTGCAAAAAAAATGAAAAGAAAGCAGATGAAAGAGAAGGAAAAGAGAGAATTTTAGAGAAGAGTATTCATTTTCCCACCTAATATGATGTTTCTATTTATAATTACAAAAGAACTCTAATTAAGTTTTTCTCCAATTAAAAAATTTTTTATGGGAAAATTTCCCCGTTTTCCCCGTAGCATCTAGATAATTATGGATAGGAATATCCCCCAATATATCAAAAAATTTTCGTTTATCCATGTTGTAATTATAAGGAATCTCTTCCCTCTTATTTACTTGTAATGGTGATCCATAAGTATATGAGTCCCTCTTATCTTGATAATTAATAAATATATATGATAATAAATTATATCTATAGTGTTTTTTAAAATTATCTTTTTTTTTTCTAATCATTTTTTATATCGTTTTTTGTCAATTCGTCCCTTCCTATTTATAATTACAAAAGAACTCTAATTAAGTTTTGTAAACTATAATTGAAACTCTGGTTAAGTTTAAAATACCGAAGGAATCTTTGCTGCCAATTATAATGATGTTAACTTATCAAGAGTTACTTTTTAAGATACTTGTAGTTGTCTGGTCCTGTAGTTGTTTTGTCGAATTTATTTTTCTTGAATATTTTTGAGATTGGTTAGTTCTTCATCATCAGGGTTAAATGATTATGGAGAATTAGTTCTGGTTTTATTCTAGATATTCCATCCTTCTTGATATTGAAACAATAAATTTATAGAAGTAATGCGTTAACATTAAGTAAATGGGAACCCATGAAACATCCCTTAACAGTCATAGGTATAGATGGTTAAAAAATTATCATAGGTTTTAAAGCAAAAAATGTTTCTATATATCTTATGAACAAAAAGTTCATAATTCCAAAAATTTTATGTTTTCTTTTCATGCATGGTGACATGTTATTAGGAAATAATTTTTTATACAATTATTTATCTTTTTGTTTAAATCCTTTTCATATTAATCTTACTATAGATAAAGAATCTATAGAAATATCATTTGTAAAAAGTCATAAACATATTTGTGATTCAAGTTTCTACCTGAAACTAACAAAGCTGAAATTAAATCAATCAATAAAACACATTGGTTATTTAAAATTTTACAAGAAAATTTTAGTGAAGAACAACTAGAATTATGGTTTAGAAGTACGAGATTTTGTAGTCTACAAATGATAGATTCTAATAAAATCATTAGAGTCAAACCCATGATCTATATTAAACAAGATATAGATGAGTTTGATATTCAAATTACAAAACTTGTACAAAAAGGACTAATAGAACCTACTAATAGTCCACATTTAAGTTTAGCATTTATGGTAAGAAATCATGCTGAACAAAAACGAGAGACAACCAAAATGGTAATCAACTATAAACGATTATATCAAAGCTTAGTTTTTGATGGATATTTTATTTCTCGAAAAGATGTTCTGATTAATTTAGGAAAAAATGCTAAATATTTTAGTAAATTTGACTGTAAATCAAGATTTTGACAAATAATGCTAATTGATGAGTCAAAATTATTAACCGCATTTAGTGTCCCTTAAGGTCAATATCAATGGAAGGTAAATGCCCTTTGGTCTCTGCAATGCACCTCAAAATTTTCAAAGATAGATGGATTCTATTTTTGGAAAATATAAAGATTTTTGTCTTGTTTATATTGATGATATTTTTGTTTTTTCTTCAAATTTAGAACATAGGAAACACCTAAATTTGGTTGCTCAAGAATTTATTAAACGTTGTATAATTTTAAGCCTTAAAAAGATAAAGCTTGAAAAAATGGAAATAGAATTATTAGGATTAAATTTATCTTCAAATAGTCTGACTTTACAAGATTATGAAATTATAAAAATAAAAGATTTTTCAAAACAATTGGAAGATAAAAAGCATTTACAAAAATTTTTAGGTCTTTTAAATTATAGAAGATGGTTTATAAAAAATCTTTCAAAAAAGGAAAAGCTTTTACAAGAAAAATTGAAAAAATATATTCTTTTTTCTTGGACAAAACAAGATTATGAAATTATCAAATAGAGAAAATCAGATCTTATATTTATTCTAAAAGTTTATCTCTTTAAACTAGGCAAGTTATTGATTTTAGAAACTGATGTCTTAGAAGAACACTGAGGATGTATCTTCAAAGCTAAAGTTCAAAAAGAAAAATTAATTTGTGGATACAATTCAGGCAAATTTAAACTAAATGAAATAAAATATATAATTTTTGAAAGAGTTGCCTGTAATAAAAAATGTAGTAACTAGATATCATATTTGCTTTGCACCTGAACATTTTATAATTAGAACTGATAATCAAGCTGTTAGAGATTTTTAAAAAAAATAAGAAATTAGATAATAATCTTAGAAGAATTAGGTGGTATAATTTTTTATGTCAATATAATTTTACTATTGAATACATTAAAGGAACTAACAATTTTCTTGCTCATTTTTTGAGCAGACCTAATGGATAAAGGTAAAAAACCTCAATTTAAACCGAAGATTACTTCTCCCTATAATCCTAACCTAGGATTTCCAATTCTATATCCTTGAGGATATTTTTATCCACCATAACCTTATTTTTCTATCCCTTGACCATCATTACAATTAGTAATGGAACCTACACAATTTCCAAATATATCTCAGTTTTCTTAGGATCCCAACCAAGGGACTCTTATTTCATATTCACAAATTCTCAAACAAACGGAAGAATTGCCTCAACCAAGAACACCTCCGGTAGGAATAAAAGATTTTTATAATCCTGATATAACCCCTGAATTATATAATCTTCTTAATAATATATGGAAATCCTATATAGCTGATAGTAAAGCTAATTTTCGTAAAAATATGACAAAATTAGCACAAACTTTAGCTAATCAAGCTAAAGAATAAGCTCATTTTCAAGAACTTGTATATAAAAACATATGTACAAGTACTCTATTAAAAAAGTCAGATATAGATTTCTTTGCAATTGATGAAAATCAATACATTCTTGACAATTTTCTCGAGATTTGTGAGATTTTTGAAAAACAGAAAATTTCTTGAAAAATATTGAAATTAAAGAAAGTTTTAATGTTTGAAAAAGCTGCAATTCTTTTACCTAAAGAAAATTTTCAAAGGATAAACAATTCTATTCTTCTTGAAATAAAAAAACTATTAGAAGAAAAATTTTCTGATTATTATTTTTCTAT